TCATTCCATTATTTTGTGAGGCAACACTGTTTGATAGACACAGATTGTTTTCCATGAATTTCCTATGTGTAGGCTTTGAAATTAGGATGAGATAGGTAGGCTAGAGAGTAACTGGAATAAGCAAAAAGTATTCAGTTTAGCGAGAGTCAAGTTGTTAAGAATAAAAATTCAGTTCAAAAGGTAAGATTACTACTCTCTGATTTTTCAAAACTGAGCAGGTATTGCTACAATGGTATATTATACCTAAATTTTTTTCATAGTTTTTAGAATGGAAGAGGATAAAGTATCACTAAAGCCCTCCACAAAGCCAAATTTAAATCTGAAGAGGGAGGGAGAGGGAGAAGGAAAGAGAAAGAGAGAGAGAGAGAGAGAGAGAGAGAGAGATAGGTCAAAATTGACCCCTTTCAAAGTAAAGACAAAATCACATTAGAGAAAACCAATTTTAATATTCATATGTATTGGTCCCCATGAAGATTTCTTTTCTTCAGTGATAGGGATGGAGATCAGTAAGAACATAGATTCTTACTCTAATGCTCATGGACATTTGCTTCTTTTTTTTTTTTTTTTGTTCAATTTCAAAAATCTTTAACACAGGACTGAGGATGCAGTTAAGTGGTATAGTACTTGCCTAGCATGCCCTCTGCCCTGAGCATTGCAAAAAAACCCAAGATTTAAAAACCCCCAAAACGTAAGGAAGAGTAGTTAACAGAATCTCAATGAACAATAAACAGTTCAAGAGAGCAAACTACCTCCATTACCAAATCAAAACTAATGTAAACAGGGCTGGGGAAAATCACTTGCTTAGCATTCAGCATGCACAAGGCCCTGGCCCTGGGTTTGAGTCCCAGCACACCCCCAACAGATCAAAAACAAAAACAAAAAGGGATCCAGGCATAAGAAATTAGAGCAACATTCTGAGTAGTTCAGAAAATAGCATTCAGATAATTAACACCTGGCATTTAAATACTTGAAAGTGGAACATAAACAAATGAAGAGTGTCTTTCTAAGACATATCATGTTGAAAGATTAAAGTCATAGCAAAAGAAATTGAGTCATTATAGTGTTGCTGCAGCTGGTGATTTCAAGTTTTATTTGTATTCATTTTTCTGGAAAATAATCTTTTGTGATTAGACTGATTCCTATTGGTCCTAGAATCAGTAGAGTATGTTTTAATTTTAATATAGTAAGAAATTGCTTTAAATGTTGGATTTCACTAGAAGCCGAATGCCATCATGGTTGTTCATCTGAACAGTCTCTCTTTCCACATCAGTTATATTCTTTCTGGACAATTCTTTCCACCTACATGAAGTATGATGGGATGAAATGAGACTCAGGCAGAAAGGCAAATGTGGTCAGATCAACTCTGAGTCCAAAGTTAAACTCATAAATAGATAAGATAATAATATCAACACTAATATATGTAAAGAATAGCATTGAAAAAGAATGCCGCAAGTTGTAGACAATGACTTTCTCTGGTGGTTTGGTTATAGGGGACTTTCACTTCCTCTATCATTTATTTCTGTACTCTTTATTGAATAATATTAAGGAATTCTTAACTTTTCAAATGTAAAAAATGATATTATATTTGTACAAAAGTTTTTATCTATAGGAAATTCTTACTGAAATATTCATGGATTAAAAATGCTATAATGTCTGAACTTTGCTCCTAAATCATATAGTACAGAAAGAGGTGAGTAGAATAGAGAAGTAAGACTGGACAGCTGTTGGTGTCTGATGAATCCATATTGATTCCTTGAATGATAATGTCTTCTTTGTATATGTTTGAAAGTTTTACGATGAGAGATTAATAAAAATGGTAGGTGACACACTTGAAAATAGGCTGGGGACTAAATGCAAAGAACTCCAGTGCAAGGAGGTTTTGTTCTCCTGTTTAGTGCTCTCCAAACCTTAGTGAATGCGATCCTACCTGCGACAATATTTTTGCATGCATGCACCAGGCATATGCTTAGTTATTTATTCATTCATTTATTTATTTAAAATTTTGTACATGTACCACTGTACTATTATGCCATTATAAAACATACATAAACATAAAAAAGCTAGATAAAAATAAACACAAATATTCGTTCTAATATGTTCTTCCTATACTCTAGTGGACCTGGACCCCAGTTAGGAGCCCCATGCTCAAAGAAGGAGTGGGGGGCCCTTGAGGTTTTCCAAGTCGTAAAGAATTTGTTTATAAGAAACAGAAACTTACTGGAGCAGCCATAGGTAATGGGAGATTGATTAGAAAGACCCAGAGCTATTTCCCTGAGGCTTCTCAAAGAACTGGAATTGACTAGGAAGTTGTTCTAACTACAAATGCGATTTGAACAAGGGTCATCATTTCCTTGTACACTTTTTTTATATATATGCAATTCACATAATGTGTTCTGCACACAGGATACAATATGCATATAAAACAAACATTCCCCACATATTATCTTGGGCAATATATTTAACACAATAATTATGCTGATTATAATATCTAACATTGAGTACTTATTCTCTGCCAGATATTGTGGTAAGAACTTTACATACATAATTTTACTTAAAACTGTGACAACCCTATGGAAATAGATCTTATTATTGATTTCCATATTACTAAGAGGAAATTGAGACTTAGAAAAAAATAGCTTTCCAAAGATGAAAGGGCTAGAAAATGGCAGAACCAAAATTTAAGTAAAGATGTTTTTGATCCCAAAACCCATATGCTTAACTACTAAACCAGAAAGAATTAATGATAGTGTCCAAACCATAAGATTGTTCTGAAGATTAAATGAGATAATATATATGATAATGTATAGCACATTGTCTGACATAGAACACACATCCTATTAATGTTAGTATTTTAGTACACAGAATATTTACTAGGATTTTCCACAGTAAACACCACTAATATCTCTCAATATCAAAACACCAATATTTATAATTATAATGAAATAATGTTTTATTATTGAATTAAACATTATTTATAATAACACAGGCCTAAATTCCTTTCATTTTCTGCCATCTATAAACATGTGGTGTGGCTTTTGTTGTTGAGTCTCTGTGGAATGGCTCAGTAGAGAGAGATAGCAATCATGGATTGTGTTATGACTCCTCCCCAGTAGGCTACAAAATGGAAATATTTGTACTGGGTATTCTGTCATATTCCAAGGAGCCACTTACATAAATAAGAGTGTGTATAGTTTGAACACTGAGAGACCCAGGAAATACATATGTACAAAATCAATTTTAATTTATGAATTGCAGAGTTTGTATCCATTTGTTTTGACCTATAGATATATTTTTAGAGAGATGATAGTTCTGCAAACATCTTTGAATTCCATTGGTTTCACCTGAAATGGTCAAATTTATCACTTCTGCAGTTTTGTTTGCTTTCAGATTTCTTATTTCTATCAGCCAATCCAGATTAAATACTTTTTTTTTCTTTTTTTGGTGCTGGGGATTGAACCCAGGGCCTTGTGCATGTTAGACAAATACCAGAGTAAGTACGTACTTAATAAATACTTTATTATTTATTTAATCATGGCTTCTACTATTAGAGTAGCCGTCTCTCCTTGGTTTTCTGGAGCATTCCAGATTTGAAATTCTGTCCCGGTATTAGGCTGATTGGCAATCTTGACCCCTGTAGAGGAGGTGCTATGCACAGCCCTGCTGAGAGCTGAAATGTGTCTCACTCACAGGCGCTACTGTGTGGTCTGGTTTACATTACTGAGTCTGTGCTTACTTTTCATGACCATTTTTTTTTTGTAATTTTGCAAATACTTTACCAAATGACCTGTGACTCTAAATAAAATTTTGAGCTTCATGGATGAATCAGGGTGAGGGGAAGATAGTCTTTGGTTTATGTATTTTGACATTTAGTCAAAGCAGAACTTGTTATTCACTACAGTATTCAATTTTGGCATTATTGATTCCATTCATTTTGTGCAATTAGATAATCCATAATTCTACCTAGGAACATGCCCATCATTTTCTCCGTTCTTCTATATGGGATTTTTTTTTTTTTTAAATTCTAGAAGCACTGTGAAGAGCATTTGTGTTGACACAGCAGAATCCACCCCCCCCATCTGCAGCCCAAATAGCATAAACCAAAATTAAATATGTGGGATTGTTGGAAGAAAGCATCCAATAACCAAACACTATGAGCAAAAAATTAATTTATTATATATATTCTATAGTAATTTATAATAGCTTCTCGAATTTTAAATGTCTTTTCGCTATTTCCAATGCTTAAAAATCATAATTTTAAAACATAAGTACTGTTTATATACATTGTGATTTCTTTTCTATTTTTGCTTTTGGTTTTTACTTCTAAATATGAACGATATGGTCCCCAAGTATCTGCTTGGAAGGAGAGGGGATAGGATTCTTGTTTTGTTCTAACATGGTAGAATTTAAAATTTCACATCATATACTTGGAGTTTTGGCTATATGAAAAATAGCCAAATGTCATCACTTTCTCGTATATTTCTTTTACATGTGTATATATATATATGTATAATATAAACAGAATACATTTGATAAGGACGTTTCAACATTTCATCAATGTAACTTTTATCTCCTATTTTATATAAAATAACAAAATATACAGAGAGAAGAAAGGAGACATCTGTTCATCGTACACATAAAGTAAATAAAAGTTCATGTATGGCTTTGCAAAGGTAGATTATGACGTGACTTTCATATTTATTTATTTATTTATTTAAAAGCATCTTGAGAGAACGTGTTAGTGTGCTTACTAGAGCGGCCATGGTGGTTGAATGTCGTGTTGAGAGTCCAATATTAGGATCCCCAGTGGTCTTTCCAGTGGCTGCCTCTGCAGCTTTCAGGAGACATATGTAGTTTATGACCACTTCATCGATCTTTGCTACAATTTCCTGCCGTTGTGTTTCTGAGTTCACGACTTTAACTAATCGCATGCAAGCTTCTGTTAGGCAACAGAGCACTTGAAAGCTGGAAGTCATAGCTAGAAGCATCTCCTCTGGACTTTTCTCGGCCATCGCCATTTTCCTACAGGCACTTCCCAACTGTCTGGACTCGATGGATAACAGTTGCTTGTACTGAGAAAGTGTAAGGTCATATGTTTCAGGGCGTGACTCCTCTCTCTTCCCCTTAGTTGCCCTGACAAGGCAAAGCAGCTCATTGGCATCATTTTGGGCTGCAAGGAACCCATCAGGCATTGTGTATGTGCTCTCCTTTAGTGCACTTATTCTTGCAATCCGGGCATCAAAAGCCAGATTGCTGAAGTCCAAGTCATCTGGGCCATTCAGGTCTTCTGACCAGACTTTCAGCACTGACCCTCTGGTTAGCTCCCCTCCTTTCTTCCAAATCCCAACAGCCAGGGATGGACTGGTTGGTACTGGCATGGCGTGAGTCATCTGGGGTGGATAGAGGCAAGAGACCCGAAGGGTGGCCTCTCCCTCCTCTTCTTCTTCATCACCATCTTCATCCTGCCCTCGGTTAAGGAAACAGTAGCTGAAAGGTCCTCGGCATCTCCAACTGCTACCCTCCATCTTCCGCAAGGGTAATGTTCTATACTGCTTTGAGTCTTTGTGAACCACTGGGGACCTTTTGTGAAACTTCCCCTCGGGGCTAAAGTGCATTGAGCTTTGGGAAAAACTCTTGGTGAGCTTCTTCCCCAGAGGGAGTTCTGCTCGCCTTTCTGAACCGGCCTCCTGTGCTTCTGTGATACCTGGATACTTCAAGCTGACCGCACCCTTGGTTCTCTCTCGGAAGGTCTCCAATGCTATGGATCCTGAGAGGATACTGCTGCTATGCCTGAGAGCCCTCTGGCTGGGGGGTGTCCTGAGGCTCCCCCCTCTCAGATCTGGTGGCCGCCAGCTCACAGACTCTCCATATGCCTGATTTGCTTGGGAGAAATCATTAGGGTCTTGATTTGGAATTGGCACCTTTGATTCCGAGTGAATGTTTGATGGTAGCAGGATGGGATCAACTTCAGGATGTTGAGACCAAGCTGAAGGCATGCCTCCTCGTCTCTCCTTCCCAGGCTCTGTCAAAGCTACACTAGGGGTAGTAGAAAAACAGAGAGATTCATTAAGCATCTCCTGGGTAGCCATTTTCCCAACATCTCTACATGATGTCTGTCATTTCCCAAGGATGCATTATAGAAGACCTGCCATATGTTAGGGCCATCCTGTTTTCCAAAGACTAACTCCTGATAACTCATAACTGATTTCCATTTCAATGAAGAGCAAAAAATACTTGGAATCTGTCATTTCTGGAACTACTAGTTCATTGGAAATTGTCTAACAATCACAAACATTTTCCAGGAGAGAATGGTATTTCATGAACCCCCTTGCTTCCAATAAACCTATTGAAGTTTAGAAACATACTTAGAAAATATACATTTTGTTTCTAGATTATTGAAACATAAAATATTTAAGTTTCATTTCAAAGGAGTTGGATTTTTCTGGAATTGGCATCAGTTACCTTTTTAAAAATAATTCATTAATGCAAATTAATTCATCTAACCTTTCTAAGAGGACAGAATGAGGTTTGAGGTTTGCCTGGTATAGGGTCTAAAGTCAAGACAGTGGGAAAGTTGTTCAAGTTTTCTTAAGAAAAGCTCTCATGTGAAGAAGAGCAAGAGGTAACTTAGTTAAAAACTCTCCATAAACCATGAAGGATTAAAGAGTGTGTTTCAATTAATTTAGAGGTAAAGATATGGTTGGGTAACTGGGCATAGTGGTGCATGCCTGTAATCCCAGCAGCTCTGGAGGCTGAGGTGGGGGTGGGTCTCAAGTTCAAGGCCAGACTCAGCAATTTAGTGAGGCCCTAAGCAACTTAGTGAGACCTTGCCTAAAAATTAAAAGGCAGGAGAATGGAGACCTGGCTCTATATTTAAGGACCCTTGTACCCAGTACCAAAAAATACCCAGTACCAAAAAAAATGCAGTTGTGTGATGGGAATTAGGTATCATTTACAGGTTAGTTTACACAGGTAAGCATGGCCAATGGTAGATTTTGTAAAAATAGAAAAGTTGTAAGAGTTAAAAAGGTGTTTTTAAGAACAGGAATATAAACTAACCTATATATCTATTGACCAATATGGAAAAGACACTACTGATATAACTTGAAACAAGAAAATATAAAGGAGCATCTGCTTTTGCTACCTGATGGCCAGCCATGTGTATTGATGAGAGACATATGTGTTCACTATGTGGAAAGCAGAACAGTGAAGGTAGGTACAGAATGTAGCTAGATTCTTGGTTCTACCTGTGTCTAGATTTTATTATTTGGGGGAAAATAAAGCAACTCATCATGCATACCCCCCAAATCTTCCTAACTGTGGTATAGCAGATACTTCAGAATATTCCTTTAGGGGAATTGTCCAGAGAAGGAAAGAATCTGTAAATTTCCTGGAAGGCAAATGATCTCTCAGAACCCCTCCAGTCTCTCTAATATTCTTCTCTGTTATCCTTCTTTGTCTCTCAGTAACAAAATGGGAAAACTGGAAATGAGATATCTTGAGAAGGAAATCAAATTGTTGTATGACTCAAATCAATACTATCTTATAACCAAAAGTTATACTGGGCCCTGCTAAAAGTCTGCATTTAGAATTTAGAAAACAAATAGTGCTCCATCAAATTCTTAAAGGAAGAGTAGAACAAATTATAAAGAGCAAATTCCATTTTCACTCTTGTTCCAGACCTAGAAACTTAACAGTTTATTCACTACCAGGGGGATCAAGGATTGCTATTTAACATTTCTATGGCCATTTTTGGCTACCTTTGACCTTTCAGATGTTGTATTTTTAGGTTTGTTATAAATATGGTTTACATGGTCCTGGTGTGTATTGCAAAGCACTAAATCCATCATTGCTGTACCTGTGGTTTCCTTAATTTTGGGGAGCCGATGGCATCCATCTCTCAAAGTGCCAAACAAGGGATCGGCATTAATGGCTGTGTGCAGAGCAGGCACTGTCATCCGCGGACACATCCCTTCTGCCTGTGGGTGCAGTTCCTTAAAGTTGGCTCCATGGTTGGGAAGGCCAGTGGCTCTCTCCTCTGAAGGAATATAACTTACGCCTTTCCCAGAAGCATCTGGAATCAAGTGCTTTCCCATGGAGGGGCAGAGGGGCGACTCCACAGGAGTGGCACAGGCACTGCCGCTGCTGCCTGGACCACAGCCTGTGTCCACTGAAGAGCCTTGAGAGCTCTGTAGAGAAAAATGGCCCTCACTCTGCAGGGATGACATCCGCTTGGCCAAGTGGTAATCACAAAGGCGGGCCACACCCTCTTCCGCCTCTGGAAGCTTGGAGGAATGGTCACAGGTGGGTGAGTCAGCATCCTCTGGGTTATCTAAGTCTTTGGCTGAAGACACACAGGCCACATCTGTTAAGAAGCGGTCCCCTTGGCCAAGTCCTGAAACATCATTCACTTCTCCATCAAGAGCCCCTTCCTCTTTCCCTTCGGCCTCCCTTGCCCCAAGACCAGAAGGTCTGGGAAAGGCTTGCCCAGCTGCTGCTTCCAGTCCACCTTTCTCTGTGACCCCACCTTCAGGGGCCACATACCATCTTTGGCTGTCCTTGCGAAAGGCAGTTCTCTCTAGATTAAAAGTGCTGAGGTGTTGACTGTCCCTCGAAGACACAGTACCAAATTTCCCTTTGGCGTCCTCTTCCATCTCTGTCGTTTTGGTTCCCTGCTGTTTTTTTCCTGGCATGTTTCCACTTGTGGGGACTTTCCCCTCCCCCTCAGCCAGCTTGCTTTTCCTTTTGCTGGTGCATGAATATGCCACCGACCCCATGTGCAGTTTACTAAAATAGTCAGTGACCGACTTGGTCTCCATGGTTTCAGGCTCCATCTCCATGTGGTCTGAGTGAAGTATCTGCTTGGAAGGCACAACTTTGGACGGAAGGTCGGTCACTGGGCGAGCAGCCAGGCTGTGGGAGGACTTTGGAGGCAAGGCCCCTGCAGGAGCTTTGGAGGTGGGAAACTCTGTCTGCTCTTCTGCGAGGGGGTGGTAGCCTTCATGAGTGGCCAAGAACATGCGGGAGAGGCTCTCTGACTGCTTTTGTGCTGCGGCCAGTTCAGAACTCTCAGTCATTTCAGAAGAATTAGTTTCATTGCCCGAGTCTGACGAAGACTCAGGACTATAAGCCCGCAAGATGGCTACACCTGCATGCCGTAAAAAACAAGAAGCAATTAATGGATGTATCAGAGGCACTTGGAGACATGTAAGAAAATGGGACTCATTATTCTTTAAAAAAACAAAAACAAAAACAAGTTTTTCCCTTTTCAGTAAGGACTCTGAATTTATTGCACAATTGTTCCAGAAATGGGGGTGGGGGACGTGCCATATGGTTTAAAAATAACAAAGAAAGCACATACACACACAAAAAAAACCCCATGATGGTAGTTCAGCATATTTATGAAATGGGACAATGCGTGAAATGGAGAATACCACGTAACAGGACTCCAAAGACAAATGGCTCGAAAGGATGGAATGACACAGTTATCAGTGAATAAATGTAACAATCGTGAAAGAACCTGAATTGTCACTGGTCTGCTGTTCTTCTGAAACAGATAGAGCTTCTAGAGCTTCCAGCGTGGAAACGACAGCGTTATCCAATCCCTTCTCGCACTTTCCCTCAGCACTAGTGGGCACAGCATCGATGAGGGACACGGGGATCTCATCGTTTTGCAGGCTGCTGCCTTGCTCCTTGTCTTCACGGAAGGACACTGCCTGGCTCTGAGTGTCCTCCTCATCAGAACTGTCTCTAAAGCCAGGTGGGGGTGCAGCAATGGCCATGTTCAAGGAACGTAACAGGAAGTCATCCTCATTGTCATCGCCTTCCGGAGGAGGCAGGGACGTGAGGTCAATGATGTCATCACTTGACCCAGACATATTGAGGATGGCTGGCTGGTTCATCTCGCCCACCACAAGGTCCTCCTCACAGCTTACCTCATCCTCGTCCTCTGCATCATCAGTGTTTTCTGCATAACAGATGTCATGCAAGAGGGGCTCCTCTATTCCCTCAGGGGCCTCAAAATTTTTCACATCACCTATGTTTGCATAAACAGAATTTGCCACAAACTGGATGCTCTCTGTGTCTGGAGCGAGATCCAGGTTCTTCATGTCATTGGCACTGCTGATGTAGAGATTCTTCTGCTTCTCCAGCATTTCTGGACTCTCATCTAACAGTCTCTCATAGCCAAGAGTTGGGGGACTCATACCATCATCCAAGGCAAGATCTCCAAAAATAAAGGACACTTTAGCTCCTCTCGGAGATTCCTGTGCTTTCTTTAAAGTTTCTGGTCCTGAGAGGGTCATCAGGGACCGCTGGGCTAGACTTCTGTAGTCTGCCTCACAGGGAGCATCACCAGGCTGTGTCAACTGCTGGTTAAGTTCATCTGGATTATAGGTGTTGTCTATATACAAGTGCCGGTGGTCCTTTGAACACATGGTGCTGTCTGTAATCTCAACTGTCTTCTGTTTTGAATCTATATATGTTATCTGAGCTTCTTGTTCCCCTTCGCCAATGAAGGTGGTCATTTGAGGCATACAGTTCCAATCTGGGCCAAGGAGGTTAGGCTTTCCTTTATTTTCAGCTCCTAAAGAGAAAGAATCATGCAAAGACACATTACTGTAATATATATATATATTTTTTGGTGGGAGGGCTTTATCTGTGTTTCTTAATTTAATGGCTTATAGCATCACTGTATAAATATAATTATTTTACTTTCCAAATAACAGTACTGCCCAATGTAAGCTCCAGGTGCAAGGATTCCTTGGTTAGGAGAATCACCACTAACAAAAGTGATATATACATATATATATATATATATATATATATATATATATATATATACACATATATATATATACACACACATATCAGTTATATATCTATATCTTTATATATAATTGCTATATTATTATTAGAAGACCTTATTTACATATATGAATATAAATATACAACGTGCCTTTTACAAAGCTGATAGGTGATATTTCAATAGGCTATTATTCTAGAAAACAAATTGTTCTTTTCTCTGTAAAGTGAGATCTAACAGTCTTCACTTTGTGGTGGAAGATATTGGACTTTTTTCTCATTGAGTTAATAGAAGGTCAAGGATCTTCATACTTCCTAGAAAGTTAAAATAAATATTGTACCTCTACTTTCAGCCTATTTATATCCTACTGAATGTAATATATTCATGTACAAATGTCAGCATGAATCGCTATATGTATGTGTGTATATAAAGAGTATATAATGTTTAAGGTGGAGCACATTCACAAGTAATGTATGTCTCTCTGCCATTTCTAAGTGTAGTTAATATTTAGAGTGACTTTAATTTTTGTTCTTGTCAGGGACCCATGAAGATTTGTTTGATGTTCATCATGAATTAAAATTGTAATACCCTAATTAAATATTATTGTTTTGTTTGCTCTTCAAGGGTCTTTAAATATGGAATTTTTAAGTGAAGATTAGCTCTGATATTTAACAAGATGTGGAATTTGGGTTATTCTGTGATTATTGCTTTGTAGATTCTAGAAGCAACCTTTTGACCAAAATTTAGGACCCTTCCATTTTTCCATCTGTTCCCTCAAATTGCCACTTGGCCCAGTTTGGGTGATACTGTCATCATATGTATAAGACATACAGAAAATAAAATTGGTTTTACTAAAGGAATTTTTGCTCCCCCCAAATTATACAATAGACTTCATGCTGAACACTGTTCAGAGTCATTTTACTAAATATATATATTCATAAATAGCAAGTAAAAGATATAATTTTGAAGACATTTAATTATATACTAGCCACAATTACATCTTACCTTATAATCAATATACTGCATGGGAGTTCAACATAATTTATCAACTATGAAAATTTAGGTTATGATGGGTTCTGTGGGTGTGTACATGTGTGTATATGTGTTTGTGGGGGTGGGATATTGAGGAATACTTGTAACAGCTAAGTTTAGACCAGGTGTTGGCAATGTTTTCCATAAATGGAGGGCTAGAGAGTAAATATTTTAGTTTTTGGAAGCCAACTGTTTCAGTACAGCAACAACTAAACTCTGATGTTTTAACATGAAAATAGCTATAGGTGATACATAAACAAATGGGAGGGATTATGAGCTGAGTGGGTGGCACCCCCAAAATGTGTCCACACTATGATCTTATTTGGAAAAAGAGTTTTGCAGATTATTTCAAGGATTTTGAGGCAAGATCATCCTGAATTATCTGTTTGGGCACTAAATCCAATGGTGAGTGCCCTTGTGGTAGTAGGAGATTTGGACCACACCAAGAAGAGGTGAAGATCATGTGAAGACAGAGGCCAAGGCTGGAAATGTGCAGTCACATGGAATGCTGACAGCCATCAGAAGTGGGAAAGGCAAGGAAGGATCCTCCTCTAATTCCTTTGGAGTGAGTACTGCTGACACTTTGATTTTGGCCTTCTGGCCTCCAAAACTGGGAGGGATTTATGTTGTTTTGGCCACCAGATTTATGATAATTTGTTACAGAGACTTTAGAAAAGTGATACAATGTGTGTAGTTAAATTCTAATAAAATTTTATTTGTAATAACAACTCATGGTTTAGACCAACAAAAACACTGAACAGACCAGAAAGCTAAAAGCAAGTTAATGATATTTATTCAGAGCCCCCTGAAGCCAAGAGATACAAAGGTATGGTGTCAGGGATTTTGAAAATGCTTAAAGGAATATTTTAAAGATGGAGGAAGATAAATGGAGGCTTACAGTTCCTTATTAGAGATCTTAACTAAGGTCTATCTCAGTTTGTAATGAGAAGAAAATACATGCTCAATTTTAGCTTCCTTCCAGAAGGGTATACTTATTTGGCTTCCTGGAATGACTGTGGAGACATGGAAGGATCTGGGGTGAGAATTTAGATCTGTTCTGTGGCTTAGCCTCCAGTGGACCAGGGATGAACTGATCTTACCAGACTTTACTCCTGATATTTCTCAAATCTCAGGAAATCTGTGGCAGTTTCTAAAGAGAAGATGTGCTTGTAGCCACTATAGGTACTAAGTCCCAGACTGCTGCTCACCTGAGGTCTACCTGTTTTGTTTTGGGATGTGCTATCTCTCCTTTATCCACCCTACCCTTTCTCAGAGTGGAGAAAGGTATTTGGAGCATTTTCCTCACCCTAGAAGAAATCACTGAGAGGCTGAGGCTCCATTTTTCCTCCATACTAAAAATACATTTTTAAAAAATATTTTCTTAGTTGTCAATGGATTTTATTTATATGTGGTGCTGAGAATTGAACCCACTGCCTCACACATGATAGGCAAGTGCTCTACCACTGAGCCACAACCCCAGCCCAGTTATAATATTTTTGCAACTAAGTTTGCCTCTCAGTTTCACAACACATTTACATTGTAGATGGCTATAAATTGGATAGAAGTGAGACCCTTATTGCTGTAACCATTTTTAGAATGGAGATTTGGTCTTTTCCCCATACCCATACAATTTAGCAGTCCATGGTGAAAAGGTTTTAGTGTCAAGATAAACATTGATTAGAAAATAAAAAAAACCAAAGCTGGGTTTTCAATGTGAAAGGATTATTTTAAGTTGCTGAACTGTTCTTCAGAATTTCAAGATCATTGCTGAATTGCTCTAAATCTCTTTGCTCAATGAAATTGTGAGGTTATAAAAATATGTGTGCAAACACTATGTACACTTACTGCCTTTTTGTTCTTTCCCTTTCTCTAATTATTTTTAGTCATGTGTGTCTTTCTAGGATTTCTTTGCTCCATCTTCCATCTTCCTCTCCCTTCTATATTTCTATAACTTTCATCCTCAATTTTTACACCATTTTTTTCACTATCATCTAATAGAATTAGTAATAGAACTAGTGAGCATCATATTAGGTGTTGTACATATATTTTTTTCTAACACTTACCTTGCAAACTAAGTTTTCAATATCAGTTATACAAATGAGAAAACCCAAACCTAGAGTAATTTGAAAATACACACACTCCGAGGTGGGGTTGGATTAAACCTTAGATTTATCTGACTGGAAGTCATAATTGCCTTCTAACTCACTGTCATCTCTCTTTTTCTCTGCCTTCCCATTTTCTATGACTACAAATGCTTTAAGTTACCAAGCCATTATAATAAATTACATGTGAGTCTATGCGCATGTCTATGAATCTGCATGTTACAATATATTTGTGGAATAAAGACATGTTTTCTTCTCAGTTTAAAAAGAAGAGAGAGTTTTCCTTCCCCCCTTCTCTCAGAAATGGTGACAGAAATTTGTTTTTAAGAATTTCTTCTCTTTTAGAAGAAATACTATTTATAGAACTCCTGCGTATAATTTTTTCATGTGTTGGTGGCTTGGCCTTGAATGGTGGTATCCATTAGCCACATTTACTGAAAATCCACTGTAAATAGAGGAGAATGCTCAAATACTTAAAAAAATTCCTAAAATAAATGAAAAACGCCCTCAAAGAAAGAATCAATTTATTATTTTTGGCCCTCCTTGTCCTCATTTTGTGTCCTGTCAAGAGGTTATATTGAAGTATTTGACATCTTTATCATCTTGATGCTCCTATTATGGATCTAAAATGGCTGCCAGAGCAGAATAAGTTCCTTCTACAATCCCTGAGTCCAAGTTCTGGGTAGGACCTACCTCCTCCTGCTGGAAAAGCTTCCTGAGTCTGGGAAAATTTTGACTACAGGAAGGAGGATCCCAGGCAGGTGGGTCTAAGACATCTTAAGGAATGAGTAGCCCTAGAATAGGGGACTCACAATCATTAGTTGGGTATTCTGTTATTAGTTCTCTGTGTCCTGGCCACTGTAAGAGTGAGGCAATACAAATGCAGCCATAACAACACACCTGAAATTTACAAGTGCCATAATAAATGTGATAGGGAATCAGCATTTTTAAAAATTAGACAATGTTAGCAATATTTGAATGCTTTTGTATTGTCTGGACATAACTTTTTCTATGTGATCAATTTTAACTCTTTAAGTGACATCTTCTTATTATTGTCAGGTGAGGTCTGGAAACCACAGTGGTGGTGAAGGAGTCACTGCTTCATTAGTTTAGAAAGAATATACCTGTGTCCTGGGTCCCTGCATTTTTCTTGTTGGCCATGTTAAATATCGACCTCCTGGAATCTACCAGCAGCCTGTAGTATCCAGCTGTCAAGCAGGCCAGGTTCATGGCATCTGAGGATTCCATCAGGAGTGTGATGGGCTGCACAAAAAAGATGTTTTGGTCAAAGCCATCCTCCTCAATAACCTCCCTCAAGTGGCAACAGCTGCATTTACACTCATGAAATAGAGAAGAAGTTATTGAGCAAAAACTGCATTGGAGAAATGTGAATGGGAAGAAAAAGTCAGGGATAACACAAAGTGCCTTAGTGAAAAACATTTAGGATATATCACTTAAAAAATCTGGACATTTATGATCTCTTCATGGTCAGATTAGAATAAAAACAACAGCAACAACAAAAAAATTGATTTTCTTCTCAAATAGTTAACATTTTAACTATTTATGTTAGTTATAAGTTACATCCATGACAAGAAGTGAATTCACAATGTGAAAATCAGCAGAAGTTTTAAGTTTGGGGTTCATGGTGAAAATTAGTGTTAAAGAGAAGATTAAAAATCAAGTGGAAATTTCTGACGAGACTGAATGAAATACAGAAGACAATAAGAAAGTATTTTGAAAATTTATACTCTAGTAAAATAGAAAACCTCAAAGACACTGACAAATTTCTAGAGGTATATGATCAACCCAAACTGAGTCAAGAGGACATACACAATTTAAACAGATCAATTTCAAGCAAGGAAATAGAAGACACCATCAAAAGCAAAAAAAAAAAAAAAAAAAAAAAAAAGCCCAGGACTAGATGGATTTACAGCTGAGCTCTATAAATCTACAAAGAATTAATACCAATACTTCTCAAATTATTCTGTGAAATAGAAAAGGAAGGAATCCTTCCAAACTCATTCTACGAAGCTTGTATTATCCTAATACCAAAACCAGGAAGAGACACATCAAAGAAAGAAAATTTCAGACCAATATCCCTGATGAACATTGATGCAAAAATTCAATAAAATTCCAGCTTAATTGCATACAAAAACATATTAAAAAATAGTGCACCATGATCAAGTGGGGTTCATTTCAGGGATGCAAGGTTGGCTCAACATATGGAAATCAATAAATATAATTTATCACATCAATAGACTTAAAGATAAGAACCATATGATTATATCAATTGAAACAGTGAATGCATTTGACAAAATATAGTACTATTTCCTGTTAAAAACATTAGAAAAACTAGGGATAGTAGGAACATACTCCAACATTGTAAAAGCTATCTATGCTAAACCCAAGCCCAACATCATTTTAAATGGTGAAAAATTGGAAGCATTCCCTCTAAAACCTGAAATAACACAGGGATACCCTCTTTCACCACTTCTATTAAATACAGTCCTTGAAACTGTGGCCAGACAATTAGACAGATGAAAGAAATTGAAGGGATATGAATAGGAAAAGAAGAACTCAAACTCTCATTATTTGCTGATGACATACCTAGAGGATTGAAAACACTCTACCAGAAAACTTCTAGAATTAATGAATTAGCAAAGTAGCAGGATATAAAATCAATACTTATAAATCAAATGCATTTGTATATATCAATGATGAATCCTCTGAAATTAGGACAACTACCCCATTCACAATAGCCTCAAAAAAAAAAAAATACTTGGGAATCAACTTAACAAAAGAGGTGAAAGACCTATATAATGAAACTACAGAACACTAAAGAAAGAAATTGAAGAAAACCTTAGAAGATGGAAAGATCTCCCATGCTCTAGAATAGGCAAAATTAATATTGTCAAAATGGCCGTACTACCCAAAGTGCTATACAGATTCAATGAAATTTCAATTAAAATCCCATTGTCATTCCTTATAGAGATAGAAAAAGCAATTATGAGGGCTGGGGTTGTAGCTCAGTGATAGAGTGCTTGCCTACCATGTGTGAGGCACTGGATTCGACCCTCAACACCACATAAATATGAATAAAGTAAAGGTTTGTGTCCATCTACAACTTAAATTTTTTTTTAAAAAGCCATCATGAAATTCATTTGGAAAAATAAGATACCCAGAATAGCCAAATAAATCCTTAGCAAGAAGAGTAAAGCAGGAGGCATCACAATACCAGATCTTAAACTACACTACAAAGCTATAGTAAGAAAAATGGCATGGTACTTGCACCAAAATAGACATGTGGACCAATGGGACAGAATAGAAGGCACAGAGAAAAAAACCACACAAATACAGTTATCTCATATTAGACAGAGGAGCCCAAAACATACTTTGGAGCCAAAAAACATACATTTTTTTCTTCAACAAATGGTGCTGGGAGGACTATAAATCCAAAACCCTATCTCTCACCTTGGACAAAACTCAACTCAAAGTGAATCAAGGACCTAGGAATTAGACCAGAGACCCTGTGCCTAATGGAGGAAAAAGTAGGCCCAAATCTGCATCACACTGGATTAGGCCCTGACTTCCTTAATAAGACTCCTAAAGTGTAAGAAATAAAATCAAGAATTAATAAATGGGCTGGACTCAAACTAAAAAACTTCTTCTCAGCAAAAGAAACAATCAATGGGTTGAAGAGAGAGTCTACGTTTTGGGAGCAGAATTTTGCCACACACATGTTTGATGGAACACTAATCTCCAGGATATATAAAGAACTCAAAATACTTAACACGGAAAAAACAAACAACCCCATCAATAAGGGGCTAAGGAGCTGAACAGACACTTCTCAGAAGAAGATATACATTCGATCAACAAATATATGAAAAATGTTCAACATCTCTAGTAACTAGAGAAATGCAAATCAAACTACTCCAAGATTTCATCTCACACCAGTCAGAATGGCAGTTTTCAAGAATACAGACAACAATTGGCGAGGATGTGGGGAAAAAGGCACACTCATACATTGTTGGTGGGACTGCAAATTGGTACAACCAATCTAGAAAGAAGTATGGAGATTCCTTGGAACCACCATTTGACCCAGCTATCCCACTCCTTGGTCTACACCCAAAGGACTTAAAATCAGCATACTATAGTAACACAGCCACATTAATGTTTATAGCAGCTCAATTCACAAACTATGGAAGCAACCTAGATGCCCTTCAATAGATGAATGGATAAAAAATTGTGGTATACATACACAATGGAATATTACTCAGTATTAAAAGAGAATAAAATTATGGCACTTGCAGGTAAATGGATGGAGTTGGAGAATATCATGCTAAGTGAAGTAAGCCAATCCCAAAAAACCCAAGGCCAAATGTTCTCTCTGATTAAGTGGATGCTGATCCATAATGGGCGGAAGCATGGGAAAAATGGAGGAATTTTGATGGGACAAAGGGGAGGGAGGGGCCAGGAGAGGTCATAGGGGCAAGGAAGGAAAGATGGTAGAATGAGATGGAGATCAGTAACCTAAGTACATGTATGACTGCACATATGGTTGTACACTGTGTACAACCAGAGAAATGAAAATTTGTGCTGCAGTTGTGTACAATGAATTAAAATGCATTCTGCTGTTACATATCCTAATTAAAATAAATAAATTAATTAATAATAAAAAAGACTAAAAACTGTCAAAGATATCTAGGAAAAGGATACTTCTGAAAGAAATGGTACATGTACAGGAAGGTTAACTAGAACTGAGAGTTGAGAAAAGACCTTGATAAAACTTTCTGGAAACCAATGATATTATATAATTGGACATGTATCTTGGGTGTTCAGGGAAGGAAATGTTGATAGAGAATTTTTTTTTAGTTAGGAAGAGTGTGTTCTTGTGGAAAGCGAAAGAAACTGGGAGAGAAATAAGGGAGCAACATAAAGCAGACATGAAGAGAGGAAGAAACAGGTCTCTACTGTCACTCCCAGGAATAGGATACTGGTCATGCTCAATGTCCCTGATTGGTAGAATAGAAATTCCCATCCAAAGAACCTGTACTACTTGTTGAACTATCTTTCCCTCAACTATAGTTGTGGTCTCCCCTCAATCTTGAAGCTATACTACCATTATTCAATACAAAGCAGGACACCATTAGTAGGGTCTCACCATTCATTTCTATTTAGATTAATGCTGATTAGCAGACCTATAATGACCACATTCAGTTCATTCTTCTGCCCTTTTCTCATTATGGGGTTATTTCCCTCAGTATCATTAGTCATGGACTAGGATAGACATTCCAAATCCATCCTTACACTTGTAAATTGCCATGAAGTCAACTGGAGTCCTCTAGATTCAGCCCATGAAATCCTATGGGGCATAGATAACATGTCCTAGTTCCATATTCTCTTTCCTGACCATTTGTTCCTGTTGCAGAGTGTACTGATATATCCTGATTTGCTCTAGAAACCCTTTCCCATAGCTTCCGTTATTCTTGATCCACTCTTCCCAGACCACACTGGTGGTAGTGTGGGCATGGTTGGGTCTTCTCTGACCATCTTCAGAGCATCCCTGCTAGCTGATGCTGTCTCTTTTGTGGAGGCCCTGTCTCCTTTTGGGTCTAGTGCTTTTTCTCCATAGAAACATTAGATAGATTAACATAGGCAAAATCCAATGACTCAAATTTACTGGAAGAAGAAGGGGGTGGGAAAGGAGACCTGGATTGTTTTCTGCTGATTTCTGATAAGGGGAGTAGAGTTTAGCCCTTTGTAGACAACCTCGGATGGCTGTTTTAAATAGAATGACCATGACATTCCTAGAAGCAAGATGTTTAGTCAGTACCAATTTCTACAGCATGAGAAGACAAACTAAAATACCCATCTTTTCCAAAAGAACGATCACATATGGTCCCAACTTAATGAAAGGGAATAGGACTTTTGAATAAAGTTAGGGAAAAGAATCTCCCTGACTCTGAGTGAATCATACATTCTAGAAAGTTGGGAAAAATCTCCCCTAGTCTCTGCCTATGGCTCAGTATTATAAAATAAGAGGGACCTAGAAATGAGATAGCTTGCTTTCTCATGTATAGATAAAGAAATGAAGCCCAGAGAAGCATAGCAAATTGCCCCCAAATCACAGCAGACTGAAGTCTCAGGCCTGAGTGGGATGGGTTTTCCTGCACCTCAGAGCATTGCTGAGACTCTGCACACATTAACTTCTCTGCTTTGTAAATGCCAGAAGTGTTGCCAGAAATGAAATGTTTAAACCAAGGTCATATGTCAACATTTGAAAGGCTTACCTTCACATCTAGCACATGGAGCTCCACCCTCACCAAGTTCTCCTCTTCAGTAAACATTTCGATCCTGTTGACATGGCTGAAGTCAGCTAAAAGTGCCACCAGATTGGTTTTGGTATTTATGACATGGCTTATGCCATACCGTGGCCCAACCAGGAGAGTCACTTCTGAACGCTTTTCTGCCTGCTGAGAAGAGATGGTGACAAAATATTTTAAAACTCACACTTTCTGAAGCACCATGCAAAGTTGAACCTGAGAGCCTGTTTTTATAAGATTATATTTTCTTTTTTATTTAGAGAGAGAGAGACAGAATTTTTTAAAATTTATTTTTTAGTTTTCGGTGGACACAACATCTTTATTTTTATGTGGTGCTGAGAATTGAACCCAGGCCGCACGCATGCCAGGCAAGCGCATTACCACTTGAGCCACATCCCCAGCCCTAAGATTATATTTTCTTTAGAAAGTACGTCTGGGTCACATTGTACTACATCATCCAATGAGAAGAACCAGATATACGATCACATTGAAGCTCTTGTAAATTATGAATAATATATAAAGAAAATGTTATCATAACACAATAAATTCATAATCACAAAAGGTTTTTTTTTTTAGAAATGAGGTTTGTGGCTTCTCTCTTTTTAGTGTCAAAGAAACTTCTGGCTCAATGATTTAAAATGCAGCTGTTGTTAGAGCCCTTTGATTCTCCTGTTTCTTCACATTTCTTTTTCTAGGGCATTCTGCAATGGCATTATCTAGTTTAACATTTTTTTTTCAGATATTTTCAGACAGTGGTGAAGTCAATTAGAAATGAAGGCTGGAAAATATTCATAGCTGATTTGCTTTTGCTTCAGGGGCAGCTCATTGAAGACAGCCTCTGCAGTGATATTTTATGGACCTCTATAGCTTCTGATAAAAAGCAAGAAAGCAGAAATTACCACTAACGTTGCCTTGAACACACGGCCCCCATACAGTCGCAGGTCACTGAGGAACTTGAGATAGTGAACCTTGGCTTGTAGTGCAGAGAGCTGAAGAGAGAAAAGGAAACTAACTTGTTGACTCCATTGGGTGTGAGTCCATTTGGGCTAGAGACCAACTATAAACAAGGGACAAACTAGAAGAACAATTTCTTGCTGGGGAGATGGAGTATGACAAGACCCTTCTTTAGGAAGGAGAGTAAATTGCTATGTATTTGGTTTCCTGATGATAGATTGCAACATGGCATCAAGATTCAAATCTTAATTCATTTGAGAGAAATGCATGGGGAACTCACGAGTATGGGTATGTGGGCTGAGATGTTTGACAAGTGAGAACAAGTTCATAAAATGTTCCATTGAAACATCTGCCCATTGGGAAGTTTCAAGAGGCGAGTGGTGCTTTCCAATTGCAACTAAGGACAAAGGTGGACTGCACACAAATTCTCCCACAGCACAGGAGACTCACCTGTATGTAGTTTGTGGGAGCTGTTTAGAATACGCACCTGGAATCTATGCAAAGCCTTTTAAACAGGCTCTTACACCTCCCCTCTCAAGTTTCTTCTGGTCTTTGCAAATTTACAGGGAAAGTGAACTTTCTGAACTCCAATCATTGTGGAAATGTTTGAACTTGCTATATAAGTCCTTGTTTGGTTAATTCAACTCTGAGAATCTGTTGAGTTTCATGAATGAATTACAAATGAAATTTTATCCAGATAAAGTTTATCTTTATAAAGACTTAATGGAGGTCCACACATCATTAAAAAAAGTATTTCGATTAAAAACACGTCCATGTTTCATACTGAATGTGCCAGGAATGTTTATTAAGGGTGAAATTTTCCAACAAGGCTTAGATGATCTTTCAGTAGCAATGCCTATTAAATTCTGTTTCACTTGAAGGTACTATCCTTTATGTAATTGTTATTTAGTGCCATTTATTATTGTTATTGTTGTTATTATTATTATTATTACTATTATTTTGTGGTACTGGGTATTGAACTCAGGGACTCACACATGCTAGGGAAGTGCTCACCATTGAAGTACATTCCCAGCCCTTTTAAAATTTCGATTTTGAGACAGGGTCTTGCTAATTTGCAGAGGCTGACCTGTAACTTGTTATCCTCTTGCTTCAGCCTCTCAAGTAACTGAGATTATAAGCATGTGCCACTGTATCTGGCTAACTCATCTTACTTTTTTACAAAAACTCAACATGCTTTGCAAATTTTGAAAGCAAGCCACTTGTTATAGAAAAGCTTAGCATTATAGAAGGACAGTGATACATACAGAAATGGATAGAACTTATATTAGTTCCTAAATTATTATAATGCAAATGGGTCAGACTTTAAAAAAAATATCAAATCAACTAGTAGAAATTAGCTTTGGGCAAATCAGAATGGAAATTTAAAAAAAATCTTGACCCAGGGCATTCCACTATATTCTTAAAGCTGAATGTTCACTGCGATGGGACAAACATACTCCCATGAACTGTAAGTGAAAGGAGGCTGAGAGTGTGTTGAACCTGATTACACATTAAAAAATGTTACGGGGCAGGGAGAAAGGAATAGAAATAATGTGCCTTAACTAGTAAAATGACTTAGAATCTGATATTAAGATCAAAGAATTATCTACATGGACCATGATATACATGAGAGTCATATAAGTTTCTATAGCCAATATCAATTGGAAAGTGTTCTTAGGTTGTTAGGCTTCTCCCTATTTTATATGCCAATAATTCAAGTCTCCTTCTCTTTCTGGTTATTGGAATCATTTTTAAAAAATTATTTACAAACCATACCTTTCTTTTCTGACCAACAGTATATTTTAAAAAGTCTTCTGTGTTTCTCCTACTTAATAAAAACAAATACAAAAGTTTTAACACTAATGATGAGTGACAGAAATAATTTTATCTTCCTTCTAAAAGTAGGATTTAATCCAATAGTTGTCAGTAGGGGTGATTTTGTTCCCTAGGGCACAATTGGCAATGTATGGAGACATTTTTCTTTGTCGCAATTAGGGGAGGGGTGAAAATGGCATCTGGTAGGTAGAGACCACAATGCCCAGGACAGCTTCCCTTCCCCCTGTGACAAAGAATGAACTGTTACAGATATCAATTATGTTACAGTAGATATATACAGATTTAAAAAGGGCCCCTTTTGGGCTGCTATACACTTAAGCTGGTCTGAACAGTAAGCAAGAACATGAAGGAAATGCAGAATTATCTTACAGTTCTATTGTCTAATCACAAGGTCTCAGAGGCCATGCAAGGTAGGCTCGTGAATGTACACGTCTTGTACAATAAGGGATTTCTAACTTGTAGGAAGTACACAGGTTTCCATAAGGATATTTGTTTTTCATTAGTCTTAGAAAACGTTAATGATTTTTTAAGTTATAGAGTGTTACTGCCTTCTGAAAATATGGTGCTAAGTATTTTATTCATGGGCTAATTTTAAACATTTAAAAAAATGCATGCAAACCTCCCTCTTCAAAATCTATTTTCTATTAAGATGCAAATGTGATACCTTTTTACCCGGTGGTACCAAGTTTTGATTTGCTTTGACAAGGTGTGAAAGTGCTTTCTTTATGTTCTTCTCTTTCATGCTTTGCAGCACAGCAGAGGGAAGAAAAGTCTCTAATCCCCATTCTTTCCTGCAAGAAAAAGCATATCTTTAATTTCACATTCCTGTGATGATTAGTTATCTAAGACAAAATGGCACTCTGATGTTTGTTGGAACAAATGAACTCTTGGTAGGGCAGGGAAGCAACTTTTAATTTACATCCAGGAAACATACTATTTGATCATTAATACATATGTTTGCATTTTAAAAGAAACCTATTCCTTACTCTCCAGAAAGAATGCTAAGAAGGCATATGGGGACCAATAGAAATTGAAGAGGCACTCTGTCCAACCCATTTCTGGAGATTAATTCACATGTCCAAGTTTATTCTTTCAATACCTGTTTCTATCCATTTATTTGTTTATTCCCATTCTCACATCTCCCTGTCTGCCCACATTTTCTCTCTTTCTCCTTCTTCTCTTAGAAGAATGGTTGCAATTTCTTCATGCCCCAAAGCATCTTCTTTGCCATTATACCTCATCAGTGGCTCATTTTCTAGAAACTCACAGTTCTTTTATCCCAGTCAATTCATGTGTAACTCCTTCCATCAATATCTCTTATGCAGGGGGCAGGTTATGACCCTCAAGTATGTTGGTACTTACAGGAAGTATACATCTATCATGGATATGGATATATAAGAAAAAAAGCAGCACATAGGACTGGGTAAATATATTTTTGGCCAAACCCCCAGCAATCGTTAAATCCTCTTCTAAGAAGATTCCATATTTGAATGCTTAGAAACCTATACTGATTGTTTGTGGGCCCAACCAGTGTCATCTAAATTATAAAGAGCTTCAAGAAGATTCTGTTATTTCTCCCTTTCCAGATCCTCTCTGAAGAAGGGTAAGAAGAAATCAGCATACCTCAGGAATGCAACCCCATCAGTGTTTACAGCAGCTCAATTTACAACAGCTAAGCTATGGAGGCAACCTAGGTGCCCTTCCATAGATGAATGGATAAAGAAAATGTTGGATATATACACAATGGAATATTACTCAGTCATAAAGGAGAATAAAATTATGTCATTTTCTGGTAAATGAATGGAACTGAAGACTATCATCCTAAGTGAAATAAACTCATCTCTAAAATCAAAGTTTGAATGTTTTCTCTGATATGCAGAAACTAATTTAAAATAAGGGGGTATAAAAGACCAGAATAGAAGTAAGATCAGAGGAGTAGAAAAAGGGGAATGAAGGGAAGAGAGAAGGAATGGCATAGGAAAAGTGAGTGGAGTGAATCTGACTTTACTTTCACATGTACATATAGGAATATAGCACAGTGACTCTCACCCTCACATACGTTCATAAGACACTAGTTAGAAAAAAAGTTGTAAGTAAATAGCACAAAGATAGATAGATTTATTGTCATGTATAACTAAAAAGAACCAATAAAAATAGAAAAAATCCAACCTTCCCCCAGTTGACCATTCATGTTCTTTGTTAAAGATGCAATTATTTGTGATCACTATATTTTTTCTTCTTCCTCAACTTGTACTTATTATTTTAATTCATTATTTGGCACTCTTGTGGGTGATATTTTAGTTCTACTTTTATCATTAATTAATTAATTTACTTTGGTACTGGGGATGGAACTCAGGGCTTCATGCATGCTAGATAAGTACTCTACCACTGAGCTATAGCCCCAGCCTGGAATTATTACTTTAAATAACTACTTTTCATATCTTTATGTCTTATCTTTACAATCAGACCAAGTTCCTTGATGCTCAATGAATATTTGTTGAATAAAGGAATTGATGATGACACTATTGTAGAATCTGCAAGATTCTTAGTCAAGCTAGTTATCTTTGAGAGGTTTTTGACTCTACAACCTGGGAAAATGTTCAACCTGGGAAAATGTGGCTACAAGAGAGTAGGAACAGAAATGCATCTTAATTGTGTGAAGATCTGCTCAGGTTGTGCAGGTCACCTTTTCAAATGGCAGCCAGTTTCATTGGTCTCTAAGAACTTCAGAAAGGGGAGTGGAAAAAGGTGTGAATGTGTCCAGCTGCGTTTGAGACCTCTCTGTGAGCTGTACCTCTCTCAGGCTAGAGTCACTGCAGGTGTGTGGCAAGGGAAAAAGAGAGAAACCGTCTGGGAGGAGTGGTTTGAGACTCTAACTGAATATGAGGGTTTGTCTCTAGGCATCAATGGGTGAATTGAGAGTTGCCAGAACAGTAGCACTGAAGACAGAAAATTGGAGTTCAAATACTTTTCAACACAAGTTCATGAGAAAAGCCATTTTCCCCCCAGGTGGGTTAACCTGGCATCATGTTATTTTATAGTCAGCCCATGGGAGGCTTCTTTGGAAGGTGAGATTATTGTTAGTTTGTCCATCTCTTAGAGGTGGGGACAGGGAGAAATTCAAGGCAACTTTAAGCGTTACATGGAGATGGGGTTTTGGCCTGGTCATGAACTCTGAAATATGAGTGTTCCAGTTTCTTAGCATAAAGAACTGCCAGCACGAAGTAAGTTGGGGTTGATTTAGGCTTTTGAATCACCTCCAGGGAGACACAGAGCTCCCTTTTAAAGGATGACCCTTAAATAGACTCACTTATATAGACTCATCAACTGAGGGCAATACATACTGTCTTTTTTCTAAGACAAGGGGATCTTCCCCTGGCTGAAAAAGTCTATGGAAGCAGTTGAATGGAAGACTAAGCAAGAGAAGGCATTCATAACAAGATATGATTCACAAAGTAAAGTTGGTTTGGGGCATCCTTTCAACCTCAGTTTTCACTACAAATACCATGCTTCCCAATTATGGCATTGCTTTTTTTTAAAAAAATTATTTATTTGTAGATGAATTCACCGTATCTTTATTTATTTTTATGTGGTACTGAGGATCGAACCCAGTGCCTCACACATGTAAGGCAAGCACTTTACCACTGAGCTACAGCCCCAGCCCGGCATTACTTTTGATACTGCATTTTGACCATCTCAAGTGATCTCAGGTTATGCAGACACTTTGCAAACACAGGTGCCTTAAGCCATCATGCAAACTGTTGCACAACAAAGGGTCCCCTTGCCCCTTCCAATGAATGGCCCTATGACTTGGGCAAATTACATAATCATTCTATGCCTCAGTTTGCTCATCTCTAAAATGAACCTAAAATCCCACTGCAACTATAGGGACATTGTGAGAATTAAACAAGTTAATGCTTGAAAGGCACTGAGATTAAAGCTTGGCTTGGAACCAAATCCTTTTAGGAATTTTTAAATGTACACTTCATTTTAAATGTGACCCTCATTTTAACTACAATTTTTAAAGACAGATTATATAAGTAATGGATCTCTTCTACTACATCAGGGACATGATATTCATACATTTGCCTCTGGTTAACAAATGCTCTGCTACAAGCAAGATCAATTTTGGAAATAAAGATCAAAAATACACTGAGGTGTTAAGGAGGCAGCATCTCTGTCTCTGAAATGACGCTGAGAGCCAACACTTACTCGATGTATTTGAGCGATATTTTCTGCGTCTGCTTGGTGGTAACTGTTGCGATGTACATTTGTAAAGCGGCCAGCCGCAGGGCTATGTCGTATTTCAGCTCCGGACCAAATCGCTCCTGAACCACATCGTTACAGCTCTGCGAAGAGACCAGCAGAGGGCGCAGCTCGTCAGAGAATGGGCCGCCCCGCTTTGCCTTAGAGGAACAGGTGACAGGCATTTCCCCCAGCGTTTTCAACCCTCACTTCAAAGGCAAGGAGGCTAAAAGTGGAAACATTTCCACCGTGCTGCTTGGAACCGCGTCAGTATTTAACTGCACGCACAAACACAGAGACCACACAAAACATTTAACATTCATCGACAAGCTGTTATTTAAATATTTAGCTTTTTGTAAAAATAATTAGGATTTTAGGAATGAAATTTCCAAACACAGGTGCTGCAGCTGAACACGCGAAGCACTGATAGCATAATATGGCTTTTGGAGTTAGGCTGTCAGAGTTGGAATTCTAGGCTCCTAATTTGTTCTTCCATTTCCTAGGGGGTGTGAACTCGGGCAAGTGTCCCCTCTTATAAAGAGGGGGAAAAGCATCAAGAGTCATAGGGTTGTGTTGAGGATTACCTAAATTAATGTAAAGCCATTAGAACTTAGCTGGTAAATTGTAAACGCTCTTACAGATTAACTACTGTCATCAACAACATTCCTCTCTGCCTTCTCTCTTTCTGTCAATCCAGAGCAGCTTCAGGGAGGCAGAATTAGTAAAGTGACTGGGTTGGCAGCTCTGGACTTCTACTCAACTGTTCTGCAGTCCCAGCTTTGCCAATGGCTACCTGTGTGTGAAACCTTGCCCTGTTAGCGTGTACGCCTGTGGCTTCAGTTAACTCATCTGTGCAATGGGGATTCACACCAACTGCCTCATGGGAGCAGTTCAAGCATTCAATATGTGTCCAGTGGCACACTCTAAATGGCAGTTATTCAAATTTTCCATTCATTTGAATGCCCTGCTACTTCAAAAGTGTAACTCTGTGGGAGTCATTCCTCATCTTCAGGTGTTAGTTTGTACATCTGTAAAATGGAGAACACCTAACTCACAGGATCTGTTGTAAAGATCAAATTAAAGGGTGACTGAGAGTGTGTTATCAAGTGCAAAGTCCTGTATGACCACAAGACTTAGATCTTAAAAGAGTAGGGTTCTCATTCATTAGGAACAAAGCAGTGAGCTAAATGTTGACCAAATCACAGCATTGCTTAAGTATGATTTGCATATGTTTACTTATTTTTGTTATGGGAACCTGGGTTCTTGTGCTAAAGAATATATTTAACCCTTTTTAAAACATCCTTCTTTTCCTTATTCTTTGCCTTGTCCCAAAAGGATTTCAAATGGAAACCTACATCAGGAGTTGTTTGTCTCCTCTCAAGAGAAGTACATTTTAATCACTTCATATATTGATTTTTTAGAGAGAGAGAGAGAGAGAGAGATTGATTTTTAATATTTATTTTTAGTTTTCGGTAGACACAACATCTTTGTTTGTATGTGGTGCTGAGGATTGAACCCTGGCCGCACGCATGCCAGGCGAGCGCGCTACTGCTTGAGCCACATCCCCAGCCCCTTATATATTGATTTTACTACAATGGGAACATGTACCACTGTATGGCTTCCACATACAATGTTGACACCTTGCATACTTAACCCATGCTGTGCTGGCCCTGTATGCTGCACACTCTATCCACCTGTGATGTATGCATGTCTTCTGGCCTGTTGCTTTACTGTTAAGTGTGAACCCACATTTTGTTACCCTTCCACCCCTAGTGTGCTCTTTGACCTTTGTTTCCTGATAAAATCTTAAAGCTACCTGGAATGCAGGGGACCCCTTGTTGGAAGGGAGTCTGTCATGAGACAAAAGCAAGGGAGTTTAAATTAGGGAAGTCTCTGAAAGCAATCCCAAGGTACCATTTTTTTTTTTCCTTTTTGGTACCAGGGATTAAATCTAAAGGTGTTTGACTACTGAACCACATCCTTAGCCTGTTTAATGTTTTATTTTGAGACAGCATCTTGCTAAGTTGCTTCAGGCCTTCCTAAGTTGCTGAGGCTGGCTTTGAACTTGCAATCTTCCTGCCTTAGCCTCCCAAGTCACTGGGATTACAGGTATGCACTACCTAGCCTGACTGCCATTTTGTTTTGCTAGATTGGGTTTACCAATTATTTCCAAGTGCTCAGGATTGTTCCTATGGGGTCCAAGGGAGTAACAGACTAGATAGGGTGATTTTACAGAGTCCCATGAAAGATAGGAATAAGGAAACCACTTGGCACAGTGCCAGGTGCGTGAAGAATTTTTTTTTTTTAGATAAACCATTTGATAAATCACTTTCTTCAATGACTGCTATCACATAATAGATCTGAAGCAGATGATTTTTGTACAGAATCCAGAGACAAAATCTTAGGTTTGATGCCAGGCTATGTCAGCTACTAATCAAATGACCTCGAAAATGGCATTTCATTTTTCTTGAGTCTCAATTTTCTTATGTGAAAAATGGTCAAACTTTCAACAACAACTAACTTGAGAATTAACAATTAAATCACAAGGCTGTCATGATGCCTGTAAGAATGCTTAATAGTGGAACATGCTTTATAAAAAATGAATCATCACTATTACTTCTCCCAAGAGTTGTGGCTGAGATCATTTTCCTTATCCCTGTTTTACTCTGTATTTAACCAGACTTTTGGGTGAATTTTTTTGACAAAGTAGTTAGTCAATTATATAAATAGTTCAGAGGGATCCTTGAGAATTATTGTGAAATCTGAATTATATATATATATGTGTGTGTGTGTGTGTGTGTGTGTGTATCATTCTTTTATTACTCTTAAGTATATTACTTAAAATACAGTTATACAAGTGAATGGCAATCACTGTTTTGCTAAATAGAGGTCTTTGGGCCTATGAAATGTTCATTTGTAATTAATGTTAGGCGTTAAAAAGTAAACCAATGCTATTAAAGTGTTTGAAAACATTTTGGAGCCTCTTAGGTCACATCTTGTTTACTAATTGGTGTACCAATCTTTTTCTTAATACATAGGAGACAGGAAAACGTCAGCATAGCCCATCATAATTATGAATTAGAATAATCTGGATTAATAGTTTACTGTTAATACACATGCTAAAATCTGTTAAAGGTCTTAAGGCCCATTAATAACTAGGAGATTCATAGATATCATCACTCTCTAAATCTGTTTTCATCAGCATGCCTCAACTAGTCAATGGTGACTATTCTTGTTAGGAGACTGTTAAATAAAATTGATTTTGTTTTTCTATAGTGACATACATTGTTTCTGCTTACTCTTTGATTCTCTAGGTTAATTTCATTGCACCTTTTTAGTATCTTAAAATCAACATCACACAGGCACCACTTTGCAAACCTGTTTTCTTATATCAGACAGATATATTATTTTAGATACACCACACATTCTGTGATATGGGCATTTCAACGTAGAGAGTCTGAGGCAAATAAAATTTCATTTCCTATTCTCAGTGGAGGATATATAAGATGATAACAGCTTTATTGTGGTCTCTATTGCCTAATATATGTGGTTGTCCATCTTCCCTGCTGGCTACTCCTTGAAGAGGTAGCTAATCCACCACCTACACAGCACAAAAGGTGGGAAAGCAGAAACATTGGTCTTTTTCTGCTTGTCCCTAGGCAAGATCTCCAGACAGCTTTTCCCATTCTGAGACAAGTCCCACAGGTATAAAAGATGTGTCTTTTGAGTAAGAAATATCTCCATGCATTAAATTCGAGCAAACACACCTTAATAGAATCAGGTTTAAGGTGTTCCTTGTCTACTTAAGAGGAAACACAAGCATGTTATTCTTTTATAAATATAATGTACTTGTTGTGTTTAAACAGAAGTAGAGTCAAATGGATTTAAAGCACCATCCTGCAATCAGGATGCATGTATAACTATAGAAAATAATCATCAAATGTATCTGTCTATAGCTATAGCGTGACTGGCACCTGTAACTACTTATTTGCAACTAATGAGCTAATAAATGAAGCACATGGTCTTAACTGGAGTGGTGGGCCCTGTGTTGGTTCTCAGCAGGAATATGGGGAAGATGCAGTAATGGATCAGCTGAGAATCAGGCTTTGTTTCATGCAGTCATGTCTGGGTTCCCTGGCCTGTTAGGGAACAGGGGACATCATTGACAAGTAAAGGGTCCAGGTGACCAAGTTTAACATTTAAAAACTTAAAACATGACAGTCTCACTGTTTCGAGTGGAAAATCCAGAATACATTTTTTTTTCTTGATAAACAGAGTATGAATTGAACAGGATTTGATGCATCCTAAGTGTTCAGGGTCATCTTCATGAATATCAATCATCTTATTGAGCCATAAATACCACAGTCTCTTCTAAAGACCACTGAGGTAGTGAAAGTTTAACTGGCCTTACCCTGAGGGCTCCCATGTGCTAAAATGTTCTCCTTCTTTTATTTTCTGACTTCATTTCTGATCTCTAGGGCTTATTATCACTTTACTTTATGTGATAATTTCTAACTTCTAAAATCTATCTTGTCTATCTCTCTTCTATGTTCTCTCTTCTCCCTATCCAACTTCTGAGGATTCCAAAAGCTTTGAAATACATCCAATACATGTGTAACAACTACTCAGAGTTAACAAACGTTTGTTTGTTATTGGAAATTTAAGTGAGAGTAATAGGATATGGTTATAGAAAAACATAGAATCATCTCCTAAATATCAAATTGAGTAAATTTCTTTTGGGACAAACTGTGCCAGATACTCATTCCTGGAAGTTTTTGCTTTTGGGAGAATTATATCCTAGAATCAAATATCAGATAGATGGTCTAGAAAGGATATTATTTTCTTAAAGTTCTATTAACTAAAAACTAATAATTCCAGTATAATAAATATCACAATATTTCAGAGCAATCTAAGCACCAAATAAGTGCATGAGTAGATACATAAATAAAGGAGAAGGGGAAAATATTTCTTACAGTAACATGCAAATTAATAGATGAAGAAGAAATTATGGAATTAGGCAATCATTTTCTACCATTATAATACTAATAGATTCAGGAAAGAATCATCAATTAATACTAAAATAGTAGGTAAAAATTTGATGAGATACAGGATAATAAGAGTTGCACAGTGACTCCACAAATTAGTTATTAATTACAAAAGGAAAAGTAGTAACTTTGGGAAGGAAAATTTTTAGAATACCACCTAAGAGTTAGACTTGATAATAAGGGGATAAACCACCATCATGTACTTCCTGATGTGATGCATTGAAGAGGACACAGTCACTCATCTTATTCTTTCCAAAATATATAACCTCAATGTAATCATAAAAACATACCAGAGAAGCCAAAATTGATAGATTTCTACAAAATATCTGATCAGTACACCTCAAGACTCTCAAGGTCATAAAAGTCAAAGAATGGCTAAGGAATGTTCCAGAGACAGGGAGATTAGAGAGAAATGATAACTAGATGCAAAATGAGATCCTTCTGTGAATTTTGATCCAAATAAAAATTGATATAAAGAACCTTTGGGGGACAATAGGCATAATTTGGATACAAACTACAGATGAGATAATGTAAATAACATCAATGTTAAATTTCTTGATTTTGTGAATTGTACAATGATCATATAAAAAATCATTTAGGTTACTAGAAAATGTACACTGTATTTAGAAGTAAACACACTTGATTTTGGTAACTACCTTTCATGTCATTTAGAAAAAAAAAAAGTGTGTGTATTTTCCTATGGAGAGAGAGACAGGGAACATACACCCACACTAATAAATATGGTAAAATGTTAATCATTGCTGAACCTGAGTGGAAAATATAGATGACTACTTTTACAACTTTTTAGGATGAGGACTAACAGGAAAAGATCTCCCCAAAAATAACTCAAGGAGAAAAAGTTAATTTATCCCACAACCTTCGTATAAACCATGCTAAATTTTTCACATACCTGAACATAGAGATACTCAAAAGCAACTGGATCTCTCCTTAACAGGTCAATTGGATCCTTTGGGACAAAGCTAATTCGGAAAAGACACCTCATCTTATGGGAACAGGGCCTCTGTGTCACCTGGAAGAATAAACCCATCACACAAGAACCTTTCAGTGCCATCTGAGAGATGACTAAGGGACAGAGAAGCAAAGTTAACTTTCTTTCCACACTAGAGTAGTCAAAAGTTCTTTTAGTATTTATCATGGATACTCATTCCCTGAAAACTGCATCTTACCTTGTGACTTAGGTTGGGTTTCCCAGAAGCAGGCCTGGAGATGAGGGCTTCCATGCAAGGGACTTATTAAGGAACTGATCCCAGGAAAGCCCCGTATATGGGGGTGGGGGGAAGCAGGTCAAGATAGGAGAAAATATAGTCCTTTGTCGGATCATATGAATTCAAACAAATATTTACATTAAACCACTTTTTACCCCACTCAGAAATTGTAATAATTACATCACATTGATTTCCAAGATATGTAGTTGGTTTGTTTCAGGATATTTAAATAAATTTTCTTAAGTTTTGGTTACCTAGTACCAGAAGAGATTTAAAAAAAAAAATCTTTATTCAATAAATCAGCATGACACATTCCTTGAAGCCCATGAAGTAGACATAAGTTTAGAGAAAAAGTATAAATGGTAAGATAGAGTTGTGGGGCTTTTGTTAGACTCATAGTAACTGGCTATCTGTCCGCATCCCCTTGTAACTTTTTGCTACAGGCTAAAAGATATTTCCTGAAAATACCTGTGACCATCTGACAGCACCAGGCAAACCTGAATAACTAGGGAGTTACCTATCCTCAGATGCAGCTCACCAACAATAGCAGATCATACAGTGGTAGACAAATGCCCCAGCTACCTCACCCATTGGGTGGGATACTTCTGACATGTATTTTATACTCTCTCCCATAGTTCCCCAGTTGGAGTGAGTTGTCTGCAGTAGAAACTGATTTGATGATATAGTCCTTATTGACTTCCCAATTGTTTCCATTCCCTTCCTCATTCCTCCTCCAGAATTTCCCAAGATCTCCTTCTAAATAAACCACATGCACTCCAATTCTTGTTAAGCTCTGCTTCTCAGATGCAGGTATTGAGCTTCCAGTAGATGGATTCTGTTTATCAGGGATTGTTACTTTATAATAAGGCACAAAATAGTTCAATTTCCAAGAATGCTTTAGCAGAGGTCAAAATAATAAACAATCATTAGAAACGATTTAATATATGTATGGGTTGATTTAAATCTGATATAAATAATAGGTCAAGTTTTGAGAAGAATATAAACCAATACAAATGGCAACTTTCCAATTCATTACCTCCAATTGGACTAAATCAAGAGAATCAGGGATTATTTGCAGGACTCATTGTGTGGGAAACCAGTTTTTAATTATGACACAAACAAGAAGCACTTTAGTGTGATGGTACTTTCTGTCCATCCATCTATCTGGTGGTATCTTGATGCTTCAGTTCCTGGTATCCTCTCATTACCTCTCTCTAAAGTTCCATCATCACTGAACTCTTGCATGTAAGAGGAATTTGTTGAAATTTCTTGGATATTCAACAAAGGACTCCTCTCGTGTGGAATTACAGACAAATGAGGATGCTATGCTGAATTCAGCAGCCAAGCAGTCTGCTTGTCTCCCCAGAGAACAGATGGGGGTGGCATCTTGGTAACCAGGAACTGGGACACATTGGTAGATCACATATTTATAGCGGGCAGGACTGGGGCAGAGATTTTAGGCTTCCTAAAATAATTTTAATTATGTATCCAAAATTTAAGACAACTAAATTTGATTTTTACTTAATGTACATAATCTCAGAAATCATTTCTTTTTAATGATTTCAAGAGATCAATGATCAAAATAGGGGAACAAATCATTGTAATAATATAAAATATAATTCTACAGAGCTGTATTGCCAACAAGTAGCTGCTGAGTCTTTGATGAGTCTGTTTGGGAGATCAACTGGTGGTCCATGAAAGATTGACAAAAAGGGAATCATCCTTCTTGAGGGGTAAAATGCCTCCTGAATGCCAGCAGTCCCTTCAGTGAGAACACAGGGGATGCAGTTACTACATTGAAAGGATTAAAGGAAGGGACATTCTGAGACTACAAGCTTGGCTCTGCTCTTACCAGCAACATCAACACTTGAGAGTATAATTTCACAGACCTGAGTAAGTGTCTCCTGTTCATGAAGTAAGAGCAGCTTGGTGCCAGCCCCTTCCGTCCTCTGCTCCAGCATGAGGGAGAAGTGCTCGATGCCTTTGATGGAGAGCTTCTCTTGAAGGGTTAAGATGACATCCTTACAGAGGAAATAATGACATAATGAGATCAAAATCAAAGGTTCCCCTTTTTGGAGTCTATCATGACTGGAAAGTATTATATTTTTAGGCTTTACATCTTGAAATTGCATATCTTTGGTTGATTCTGAAATTTAATGCTTCAAAAAAGTACACAAGTGAGGCCTTCCTTCTCTTAGTCTTTTCCTGGTCTCCCAAGTACCCAACATCTTTGTGGAGTTCAAGACCTAGAGGTACATAGCTGTAGGAGGAGCTTACCTACCAAGTCATGTCTTAAATTAGAAAGGGTGTCAATAGATGGTGTAATGTAGTTAGTTCAAATCTCCTTCTATATGAAGTAGTTATTAAACCAGCTTTGAAAGTGGTCTACTTCAGGGGTATAGCCTGAATGCCAAATCTACCACTTGTTTTTGTAAATAAAGTTTTACTGGGACACAGCCATGACTATTTCTTTGTTATCTATACTGCTTTCACACATTGTATCAACAGAGTTGAGTAATAGCTCATGAAGCTTGAAATATTTGTTATCTGGCCCTTTACAGAATGAGCTGGCACCTGGTCTACCTTTCTGCACAAGGAATATGGAAAAGGTGAGGAAAATAGACTTTGAAGATAGTCTGGTTTCTTTTTTAAAAATATATTTTAGTTGTAGTTGGACACAATATCTTTATTCATTTTTATGTGGTGCTGAGGACTGAACCCAGTGCCTCACACGTACGAGGCGGGTGCTCTACCTCTGAGCTATGGCCCCAGCCCGGAGATAGTCTGCTTTTTAATTGCAGCTCTACTTCTTATTAGCTGTGCATCTTTGGGCAAGTTTTTTAATTTATAAGTATCTTAGTTTCCCTATCTGTAATCTGGGGATGATTATAATGACTTCCTTGGAATGGATATGAGAATTAAATGAGTTCATATGTAGAACACATTTATTAAAACACTGTTTGGCACAGAGTTAGGGAACCATAATTGTATACATTTATTTTACATCTCTGTGGAAGGGGGAATGGACAAGCTCTGTCAGTAATCATTTGTAGTATTAAACATTTATGATCAGAAAGGTATTCCATATAGAAATATACACACATTTGCTGCAAGGCAAAAATGAATCTTTTTAATCTTTATTTTTTTCATGTTATTGAAAATTAGGAAATTATCTCTCATCAAGAAAACTTATATTCAGATGCTAAATTCCTGTATAGCAGTTGTTTTCAACCAGAGAAAATATTGTCCCATAGTGACATTTGGAAATTTCTGGAGACATTTTTTGGTTGTCACAATTGGGCTGAGGATGCTAATGGAATCAAATGTATAGAGACCAGGAATGCTTCTAAACATCTTATAATACACAGGACAGTCCTATAGCAAAGAAATATCTAGTTTAAAATCCCAATAGTGTCAAGATAGAGAAACCTGTCATACATAAAGTTTTCTTTTACTGACTTTTCTGATGTTTGATTCTTCTCTGTGGCCCTTTTAAAATTTCTCCAGGCCCTCTTAAAACAAAATTCCCATATCCAAATAAATATGAAATAACACATCCCAATACTATTATAACTATAATGCACCAAAAATATATGGAAAAAATCCCCATATCCACCATACATGCCCCAAACAAAAACTGTTCAGTAGAAATGCCTTGACTATGCTGAATTTCACCAAAAAGGTTTCTGCTTCATAATTTCTGCACAAGGCCCAGTAAAGAGAAAAATAAAACCAGGCTTTCTTTGTATGGCAACATATACTTTATAAAACCATCTCCCCAACCACTAGGGAGGACACTAAAAATTGATAGCTATAGTTTTTTCCTATTATAACTCTGTAGCAAGAATTTTAGCAATTTTTATTAAACAGTGTTATATTCCTTTCATAACTGTACTATTTCTATTTTACGCCTACTAGCCACTGTCTATTGTGATAATAAAGCTGTTAGGTGCAAGATAAGATAAGTTTGATTTGATGTGAACTCTGCATTGCTCCCTGTCTTCTCATTGTCATCGGCAGTCCTTGGGGAGATCAAACTCAGTCTAGTGTGGGTTCCTATAATAAAGACACCAGAGGGAATTAACAACAGAGCTTTCTTAAATTTAGATTTGTTTCTGTTAAGATATCCATCAAAGTCTTTACCTATAGCTTCAGGTGGGGTAGGGATTTCAGTGGTAAGGAACTGACTTGTTGGTAACCAAAAAAGGCCATGGTATTAGAGTTGTAATATATAGCTATATGGGTTACTTTAGAGGTCTGCAAACCATGGCCCTTGGGCCCAATCAGGACATACCCATTTGTTCACATATCATCTCTGCATTAACAGATTAACCTTGCCTAAACAAAGATGTGGCCCTTTGCTTCCATTCATGGGAAGTAACTTCTCAATCTTTGGAATGTCCTGCCTGACAGGAGTATTTTTGTTTAACCTGGGCCCTGGGCTATACCACTTGATCTATGCTAACAACTGTATTTATGGTAGGGGCCTTTGGCCATGCAATATCAGCTTGACCTTTTGAAGGGCTGGACATTAAGGTCACCCAGGTTTGTTTACATGGCCAACCCCCAATAAAAACTCTGGACACCAAGGTTCAAGTGAGCTTCATTGGTTGACAGTACTTCGTGCACATTGTCACACATAATTTCTGGAATAATCGAGCATTGTGAGCATGAATCCATTAGGGGATAACTCCTGGAAGCTCTCTCAATCCTTTAAGTGAAATATTAAACCTGAGGGTGGTCTTGAGGATTTCCCAAACCTACCTGTCTATGGCTATTTTCCTTATGCAAAGACAGGATTGAATAGTTGAACAATCAAATGAGTCACAAAGCCTAAAATATTTATTATTTTGTCTTTTGCAGGAAAAATTTGTCAATCAATAATAAGATTAACATCACACTATAAATTGGTATTGAATAGGAAAGAGGAAAATGACTTTTTCAGTGATCACCATTTAAAATTAGCAGTCTTGTATGACGGAAGTTAAAATCATTTGGAATGATTGAAAGATGACTTAATGCTCCAACATCAATCTACTAATATTGTCTATTCTATTGCCTACTAAATAACCACGTGTTTAAAGCAATTCAAGACAAGCTGCTTGCTGGTATCATGGCAATAAAAATTCAAAGTGAGCCTTTTCAGAAATCCTTCCACATGTGAGGTCTATGCTGATTAATTTAAAAAAATAGAATTAGGGATTGACTACTGACAGACATTTTTAAACCAGAGTCGATATTCTCTTGATAGAGTATTGTACAGATTATCATTAGGTAGTTTTGCATCTCCATAAAATCTTTTTTACTGTGCCATTTGAAGAAAGCCTATTTTAGGCTGATGAAGCATTAGGGAGCAATCCATTTCTGAACACACTTTTGTCCAATAATAAAAAAAAAAGAATATGCATTTTTCTTTTCCAGGAAGGAAACGTGAGGAAAAATAGGTGTACACTTTGCTATAATAGCTATTATGTAAAATTCACCCATGGCTCTGAAATCATAGGATTGCTTTGTGACACTTCCTTTCTACCACTTCTCCTAAGAAGCATGCTTCATTTCTGACTTTTTATGCATTATTCCCATGAAATTGGTTACAGCAATTAAAAGTAACTGTAATCTTTACATTATTCTACTCCTTGTTTTTGCTGGACACCAAAGTAGCAGATATTCAATTAGCAGCTAACATCTTAATCTTCTTGGTGGCTGACATTACTGAGAAATCATGCTGGCTTTGGGCAGGGTGCCAAACCTTCTTGGTGACAGTCACACTATTTTAATTAATTTGCAGTTGCATTAAAATGACTAGCCTTAGTGTTTCTTCACTGGGAGCATATTACATTGTTTCACAACAACAAGGGGGTTTTACAAAAGGGCAGAACCTTCTTATTTTAAGCTTTTTGTTTTTGTTTGATTTTAAATATTCATGGGGGCTGGGGTTGTGTCTCAGCGGTAGAGCGCTCACCTTGCAAGTGCAAGGCCCTGGGTTCGATCCTCAGCACCACATAAAAATAAATAAATGAATAAAATAAAGTTATTAAAAAATTAAATATTCATATGTGACCTTATATGGGAGCAAGTAACACATTCATAGGAATAAAGGGATAATTCTGAAAGAAGGTTTTGCCATTCTGGCATTACAGTGCGAATCATTCACTCTGTACCTGGCACTGCCTAGGTACAGATGTTAGTAGGTCATCTTACCTTGATGGAGGTGCTGCAGTCAAAGCGGAATGATTTGGTCTGCCCATTTTCCAGATAGACTTTCAAAACATTTGGCATAAAAAGAAGTGAATTGTCCTTAACAGTTTCCTGTTTAATAACAGAAAAGGGGTGGGAAGGTTGCAGGTCAGTCAAATTAGGAATCTACTATGGCCAGTGGCAACACATATCTATACAGTCTATTTTAATCACAAAATAAAAAAAACTGATACTCATTGGAAAATACAAATAACAATGATCCCTTTTTAATTGAGTTTCAGTGTTAGAAAGTACAAGCAAGCCCAGGTTTCTGCAGGGCAGGATGAATTGAACAGAACAAGGACCGGTAGGGATGCTGTGTGATATAATGCAGTTGGTGCCTGGCAGTGGTCATGATGGTGACTCACAAGCATTAATGAGTTTGAAGTGCAAAGTTGTGTGTGAAACTATATTTTAAACTCAAAAGGAAAAATATAAGGAATGGATTAGTGTGTTAGAGTCAAACATTGAGTCTATAATGAACAGATCACAATTTAGAAATACCTTGAAAAGAGATGGCACTTTGAAATACAACCAAAAGAAATGTATGCTTCCAGATGTTTTCTTTAATTTGAAGTCATGAGAGAGAGAAAAGAGGGAGGAGGAGGCATGTATGTGTGAGTTCTGAGTCCTAGGGGTGAACTGAGTTATGAACATGTAGTTGGCTACCAAGTTCACAGGGGCTGAGGGGGACTCAGCAAACATAAAACCATAAGGACCTTGGTTTGAAGATTGTGGGAACTACAGACAAGATTCTCAAACATTTGCCAGTAACTTACAGTCCCAGTAAATGCAACCCCTTCCTTTCACATGCCTGTTTCTTTCTCTGCCTTTCCTGTCTACTTCCATGGACTTCCCACATGACTTTCCTGCAACCCAATTTATTGAGTAAATCTGGATCCACATCCAGGTGGAATGGCACCCTGTAACCAGGAAGAGTGGGGGTAGACTAGGCATGAAGAGGTCACAAAGGCTGAGGAACAGACATGGGACGGAAGGTCCAGCATCCATAAGCCTGTGGCAAGGCAATGGAGGTTAAGAATGTCTGGCCCTCAGAACTGTCTTCATACACCAGCTAACTTTTATGAGCCCTATTATGTCTGGAGATTAATTGACATTTGCTACAACAGCTTCTAGAATCATATTCCTTCTATAAATGCCCAATCTCAAGCTCAGAAACTCTGGGAAAAAAGGTAATTTTCAGACGACCTTCTGAGAGATGTACTGATTGCTTTGTTCCTTCCATCCTTCAACTGGGACAGATTGTTGTGAATAGATAATATAAGGTAACCCTGTATCCAGAATGATGGGGATTCACCAAGTAAGCAGAACCGAACATGCTCACAGGGCAGCAGAAAATGCTCACAGTGCACACAGTGACAGCCTCAGGCCCTTTTCCATAAGTGTCACAATAGTCTTGACAGATTGACCAGTTAACTCCCTGGCATCTATATAAATTGACTAGAAGACTCATAAGTGCCTTGCCCAGGATGTGCAGGCCTACATCTTCCATTTCCGATCCAGTACCAACCTCAGGGAACAGTTTGTGACCAATAACAAAATATCACAAATGAGATATTATCATTGTGAATTTATTTAAACAATGCTAACAGCAACAACAAAATTCAACAACAAAATCTGGCATTTCCAAGACACCCCCCCTCCCGCTGTCCCCAAATATTAGTACCTTGGACAAAAGATTTGTAAAAGCTACACTATTTTCTTTGGGAAAAATTGAAACTAAAATATCCTACTGATGTTTGCATGATTCATTTTGAAGATCAATGGAATGCTTGTGCAGTCATGCTTTCTATTAAGACCTATTTAACGGGGATCTGAGCAATATTTCCTTAGTTCTGGTTGCATATATAAAACCTTTCCATCGTTTTAATTTTTTTTTGCTATTTTATAAGTTCAAAGATCATAAATTTTTGATAAGGGAAAAATAATACTTTTCTCAAAATACACAATAGTCTATTGTGTGGAATAATGCTTAGTTGGCCCAATAGGAAGAAATCAGTGAATGTCTCAAAGAGGACTGTTTTACCCAATATGAATGAGGCATGTCAGTGCACACAGATCAGATAAACTCTGGTGCAAAGCAGAGAGGACTCTCACCCTAAATATGTTCTAGGAAACATTGAATTATCACATATTCTAGCTATGTTAAGGGGCCTGAGTTACAACCTGGTGATCTATTAAGCTCTTCACATTCCTGAGATTCAACACGCCTGTGAAAAACAACAACTAGTTTTGATTGATCATTCTAGTCAAATTACTGGCGTTGCTTAAATGCTAAGCTCCTACCTCTGTGACCCTCTCAGTCACAAAGCAGATGACTCTAAACTCACCGACACTTGGCCGTTGATGATTACCTCCTCAGAGAATCGCACTTTGACAGGATTGGACTTTAATCTTGCCTTTTTTGCAGCACTAATAAATGCTGATTTGGGAGACTAGAAGGAAAGAAAATATTTTATCTGGTTACTGATAACATAATGTGAACCATGTAACAATTGTTTTTCATCTTCATCCTCCAAGAAATGTAATACTTTTGCTAAAATGTAGAATATTTGGTACATTCCCAACTTAAAGAAGAAATACAAATTTTGAATGTAATTGAAATCCTGTCATGCCCATAAACTAATAAGTCGGATTTAGTCACCAGACCAGAAATATGAAAAGCATGTTCCATGTTGTTACTGAGAACATTTCTAAGAAGCTTTTAAAATGTCAGCAGTGAAAGTACATAAACCCTAATTCTTTTTTATTAATTTTTTTTGAATTTATAAATGACAGCAGAATTCATTACAATTCATATTACACATATAGAGTATATTTTTTTCATATGTCTGGTTGTATACAAAGTATATTCACACCAATTCATGTCTTCATACATATACTTTAGATAATAACGTCCATCACATTCCACCATCATTTCTAACCCCATGCAGGAGGCATCACTATACCAGACCTTAAACTCTACTACAGAGCAATAGTAACAAAAACAGCATGGTATTGGCACCAAAACAGACCAGTAGACCAATGGTACAGAATAGAGGACACAGAGACTAACCCACATAATTACAGTTATCTTATATTAGACAAAGGTGCCAAAAACATGCATTGGAGGAAAGATAGCCTCTTCAACAAATGGTGCTGGGAAAACTGGAAATCCATATGCAACAAAATGAAATTAAGCCCCTATCTATCACCATGCATAAAACTCAAACTCAAAATGGATCAAGGACCTAGGAATAAAACCAGAGACCCTGTGTCTAATAGAAAAAAAAAGTAGGCCCTAATCTCCATCAAGTGGGATTAGGCCCAAACTTCCTTAAAAAGACTCCTATAGTGCAAGAATTAAAATCAAGAATCAATAAATGGGATGGGTTCAAACTAAAAAGTTTCTTCTCAGCAAAATAAACAATCTGTAAGGTAAATAGAGAGCCTACATCTTAGGAGCAAATTTTTACCACACACACACACACACATCAGATAGAGCACTAATCTCTAGGGTATATAAAGGACTCAAAAAGCTAAGCACCAAAAAAACAAATAACCCAATCAATATATGGGCCAAGGACCTGAACAGACACTTCTCAGAAGAGGATATACAATCAATTAACAAATATATGAAAAATGTTCATCATCTCTAGCAATTAGAGAAATGCAAATCAAAACTACTCTAAGATTTCATCTCATGCCAGTCAGAGTGGCAGCTATTATGAAGACAAACAACAACAAGTGTTGGTGAGGATGTGGGGAAAAAGGTACATTCATACACTGCTGGCGGGACTGCAAATTGGTACAGCCAATATGGGAAGCAGTATGGAGATTTCTTGGAAAATTGGGAATGGAACCACCATTTGACCCAGCTCTCCCTCTCCTTGGTCTATATCCAAAGGACTTAAAAACAGCATATTACAGGGACACAGCCATATCAATGTTTATAGCAGCACAATTCACAATAATTAAACTGTGGGACCAACCTAGATGCCCTTCAATAGATGAATGGATAAAAAATGTGGCATGTATACACAATGGAATATTACTAAGCAATAAAAGAGAACAAAATCATGGTATTTTCAGGTAGATAGATGGAATTAGAGAAGATATTGTTAAGTGAATTTAGACAATCCCCCCCCCAAAAAAAAACAAATGCCAAATGTTTTCTCTGATATAAGGAGGCTGATTCATAGTGGGGGTAGGGAAATATTCTGTACTTCTAATACAGAGCCCTGTGTACAATGTGGAAGATGAGGTGGTGGTCAAATCTAATATTGGGTTTTTGATGACTTGCTCATTAATCATCTATTTTAATGAGGTAGAGAAGAACCTCTCAAAGTTCAATATTCCCATTGTTATTCATATTTAGAATATATGGGCATGTGAGCAAGCAAGTACACACTCACACACATTCACACACACACAGACACACACAAGCACTCATGATGTTTTATGATCTGCACACTGAGTTTCAGCCTCTTTTTGGTAACCCGTGATCTATGATACTATTGGGCAGGGTATGAAGGAGACTTTAACTTAGAATTGAAAATTGAATTAAAATTTTGCCTTATAGGTGATTCTTTCTCTTCTTTTACTGGAAAGAGTGGCTGAGTGACACACTTCTCTCTCAGAAATTGCCAGTGGAGTGGAAGAACCTATTTAGAAGGGTGCTGGGATCGGGGGATTCTTTGCTGTATGATTTTGATAAAGTTGCTTAATTTGAGAATCATTCTTATCATATAATTTTAATGACACCTAAAGGGAAGGGAATTCACCTCTAATAGATGTCTACTATGTTACCAGCATCATTTGTCTATTTTTTAATAGAGTTACTTTCTTTTACAGAACCTAATAAAGAGGTAAATATTTAGCTATGAATCATATAAACTAAAATGGTCAAATATTGGCAACTGCCTAGGGTTCAGGCTAGTGTTTTTCATGCTATATAGTTCCAAGACATCAAGACTGATGCATAATGAATTCTATTAATTGACTCTAGAATCAACACAGAGGTTGAATCTTCTGTGTATTTTATTAATCTCAAGGCACAAACACCTGTTAGGGTGACCCATACTTTGGATTTCATGTAAAATGAAAAAAAAAGTATTCACATTCTTGTCCAATACAAGTAGTATACAATCAATTAAATTAAAACCAATCATGATAATATGGATAGATAAAATGTAGTATGTCCATGCAATTAAATATTGTTCAGTCATAAAAAAGAATAATATACTGACACATGATATTACATGGATGAGCCTTGGAAATGTGATTATGAGTGAAAGAAGTCACTCATAAAAGACTGTATATTATATAGTTCCATTTATGTAAAATATTCAGAATAAGAAAATTCCATAGAAACAAAGTAGATTACTAGTTGCCAGGAGCAGGGAGAGGAGAGACTGGGGAATGATCACTTTAATGGATACCAGGTTTCCTTTAGGGGTAGTGAAAAAGTTATGGAACCATTATTGAATGGCAATGTTATACAACATTATGAATATACTTAATGTCATTGAATAGCACACTTTAAAATGGCCAAGTTTATGTTATACGTATTTCACTACAATAAAAAGCCAGCCACTGATGAAAAAACATGATAAAATGTGTATGTGGTGTGTGTGTGTGTGTGTGTGTATTCTTGTGTGCAGTTTTTGCCTTAATACTAGGATAATCCTAATATTTGTAAAGATATCCTCTATACCTATACAACTCCCAACATTTGCTATGACTACTGTCTTAAAAGACTGGATGAATGGATGGTTTAGTTCTCCAGAACTTCAACTGATCCACCTATGAAAGACATTTTAAGAGAATGGCTGCTGTCTTAAAAAAACAAAATCAAAATAGTGGTGGTACAAACCTGTAATCCCAGCTATTCAGGAGGCTAAGAAAGGAGGATCATAAGTTCAAGTCCAACCTTGGTAACTTAGTGAGACCCTATCTCAAAATAAAATTCAAAAATTTCTGGGTATGTAACCCAGTGGTATAGCACTCCTGGGTTTAATTCCCACTATTACAATAAACAAATAAACAAAACAAAAACAAAAACAAAAACAAAAAAACCCAAAAATTAAACCCCCCAAACCAAAAGAACTCTGAATGGGTGTTCCCTCAAAAGAACCCATCTTTAAACATGCTCAAGTTTTAGAAGTCCTACTACAGAGCTTAAGTGATATGACAGTGGTGTTCTCATCAGTATCTGTGTAATTATAGGCCAAGTTTAGTGATGATTAACGAGCAAATCATACAGTGGGGAGTTCATTTGCTTTTGATATGCCATTTTTTAGCTGAAGGGAAAACATTATTCTCCCTTAATGATTTTAAGCAGGCAGTATTTACTTTGGCACAACAAGTGAAGCGCCTGTAATAAAGCTACCCAGAACAGACACTACTAATTAGATGAGATGTTTCAATGCAGTAATACCTACTTTTCCAGCATTGTTTGGGAATGAAATATTTCATGTGTTCAAGGTTTTAGACACTGAACTTTACTCCTCTGTGTATTCTGTTTTTTTAAAAAAATATTTTACCACATTTTCTAGAATGTTCTACAGAATTCTTTGTTTTCTGGGTATGGTGGAACACACCTGTAATCCCAACAGCTTGGGAGGATGAGGCAGGAGGATCGCTGATTCAAAGCCAGCCTCAGCAATTTAGGGCGACTATAAGGAGTCTTGAAATAGAAAATAAAAAGGGTTAGGCAAGTGGCTCAGTGATTAAGCACCCCTAGGTTCAATCCTGATTTTTAAAAATATGTATATTTAATGGAACTTAGTTTTTGGATGAAATAATTTCGTATAATCTTAGAATGCAGTGATGTTCCTAGGGGTCATGGAAGTACATAGGTTTATTTCTTCGTAGAGTAAATGACTCCAGTAAATGACTCAAGTAGAACTTGCCAAGCTGGGGATTCTCTGTCTTCTCTGTAGGTATAACATGCCATCTCTGGTAGCCTCATTACTGTATTTATTTACTATGCCCTACTGACAAACATGGTAATCTATGAAGAACAGAAAAGACACTACTAGATGGCCAAGGCTGTTAAATAAATATTAGTTTATATATAATTTGAAATTAACTGAGCTTTGATAAAAGTCTAATAGTTCACAAGTTCATTTTTCTTGTTCTGGATTCATGACTGTTTCATATATTCAATTTACATTTAAAAACTACTTTTTGAAAATAAAAACATAAACTCTCTGAAGGCTACTTAATGAGAATCAACAAAGTAATGGCTTACTTTACTGGCCACAGATACTGATGGATGGTATAGTGTAAACTACAGTTTGAACTCAATTTTCTTTGTTACTCAAAAAAAAAAAAAGCACAAGGTGCACCACTCAAAAACCTGGTGAATTAATTCTTTGCAATTTATAGGTGCTTATTATAACAATTTCTTATCCTGTGGTGGAAATGATGATGATTTTCATTTAGAATAATCAAATTCTTCTGCTGTTAATTGTAAGATTAGTAGGCCATTAATTAAATCTTGTACCCTTTTCCAAATTTGCTTTGGCTAAGATGGTCACAATAGAGGGTGGTATTGCTCCTGATATTGTCAGATGCTCTTAGAAGTAACTAGAATATAGTTTGAAAAATTACATAAATAAGATTGATTCCTGAAACTGAAGTGTAAGTTCTTGAACTTGTAGTCCTGTAGCTCTATGATACTTCTTATACAACAGACATTGAGTGAAACATTTGGTAAGGATAACCCTACAGTTATCAATGGGTAACTTAGTTTTGAGTCCCCACAAAGCAAACTTTAAGACAAGGACTACCAAGCAGGTAGGTAATTTGGGAAGTGCTCAATGGTAGAGCACTTGTTAGTATGCTTGAGGCCCTAGATTCAATCCATAGCACCAAACACACACACACACACACACAAACACACACACACACACACACCATCCTGGGAAAATACTACTAAATACAGAGATTTACACACAACAATTTAATCTGCAGAATTATTTATAATAGTAAAACATTAAAGACAGTGTGAAGGGCCCAATGATAGTGGCTTAGTTGAGTTAACAGTTCAAGGTAACATTTTGCAGCCAGTTAAAAGAATCTTATAAAGAATTGCTGATGACATGCAAAAATGCTTATGAAATACTAAGTAAAAGAAGCAAGATACAATTGAGCATCTAATATGATATTGGCTACCAATAAGGCATAGAAAAAAGAGATTGGAAGGAGATAGTTTGAAATGTTTACACTTGGTTGCCGCTGAGAAAAAGTTTTACTGATTTTTAAATTTTTTTAAAATTTTTCTGCTTCAGAATTTTCTTCTGTATTTCTACATTTATTTCCTAGGGAGAACACTAAAAATGTAGGGTGAGAGAGTCATTCATAATACTTTTAAAAAATTATCAAGAAATTTCATGGATCCTTAGACTTTTGCCAGGTCCCCTTGACCTGGGCCTTCCTGGAGATAGATTTCTGTGGCTGGATAAATATTGGTTCTCTTGTCTTTACTGGACCTTATAATTCAGAAGAAATGCAAGTAACATAAAAAGTGCTAGTGTGCAAGTTGCAAAATAAATTAAAATGTTAATTTTTATTGTCTATAATAAAAGTAGAATTTATGAATTATCTCTTGGTCTGCTTTGTCATCTGTTTCTGTATGTCAATCCTGGTTGCCAAAAGGATACTTAGCAAATAAAAGAAACCCAATATTTTAAAGAAACAATTTTCTGGTAGGAAAATCCAAACATAAACATACAAATAAAAAATTGCAGTCTTTTCTCCCATTTGTCCTCTTGTCCATATCTAATGTGTCTATTGAAATAATTTCAGAGTATGAATTCCCACAATTCAGAGAAGAGAAAGGTCATATATGACTAGAATAAGACAAGACTTTAGGAGGAACAGTGGTTCTCAACTGGGGGCAATTCCCTTTTCATGGAACTTTTGGCAATGTCTCAAGGCATGTTTGGTTGTCAGAACTGGGGAAAAGGGTGCTGTTAGCATTTGATGCATAGAGGTCAAGGATGCTGCTAAATATTGTACATGACAGTCCCACAACAGAGAATTTCCAGTATGACCTATTACAAAAATAATTTGGTTTAGAATAAAAATGGTTCTAGTCTTGCATTTCTAATAGATTATAAATTAGGGACAGAGAATTCCAGAAAAACAATGTAAACTTGAAGTTCCACCAGTGATTTATAATCACTTGCTTACTACTTACAATAGACATTTACATTGGCTTTACCAAAATGTATTTTCCTGCAACCTACAAATTACGAAGTATGGATAGATTTGAAGTAGGTGACAATGACGATTTGGTTAAATAAAACAATCTGAAAACAGCCCATCTGTACTTTATATTAAAGCATACAGTAGGAATCACAGAATCATGAGATGGTAGCAAAAGGGAGCCCTTGGAAATAATATGATCTTAACCAATTCTCATATAGATAAGGGACTGAAAGTTCTGGACAGCTATGAAAATCACTAGACAATAAATTATGTCATCCAGGACATATATTAAAAAAAACCTCTTAGTTCCATCTCTTTTACTGAATTTAAACATGTGCATTTGAATTTGAGGCTTCTGGATCTGAAAGAACCAAGATTTGAGATCTAGTACCAGTAATATTATATTATAATTTATTGTCTGGGTTAGTTCTGTTTGTGGTCTTATCAGAATTCTGAATACATTTTTTTTTCTACCTAAAATGCCTAGACTGGGCTGGGGATGTGGCTCAAGCAATAACGCGCTTGCCTGGCATGCGCGGGGCGCTGGGTTCCATCCTCAGCACCACATACAAATAAAATAAAGATGTGATGTTCACCGAAAACTAAAATTAAATATTAAAAAAATCTTTCTCTCTCTCTCTCTCTCTCTCTCTCTCTCTCTCTCTCTCTCTCTCTCTCTTTAAAAAAATGCCTAGCCCACTGCTCTCAGGAAAATTTTGGGATGGGAGAGGAGAAGTGCTCTAATTCTATGGTGAAGGAAGTAGAAGACTAAGCAGGTTGGAATCTTTGCCCCTCCATGTGAAGGGCAAACAAACGTACTGATTGATGATAATCATTTTGGGAGAAATCTGAAAGAATTTGCCTTAGTATTTTTTGTTTAACTGACAATTATAAAATTCACAAGTAACAGCAAGTCTATAGAAATAGAAAGTAAATTAGTGGTTGCCTGGAACTGAGCGTGGGAACTGGGATTAATTGTAAGTGGGAACAGGGATCTTATTGGGTTGATGAAAACTTCCTGAAACCAGACTGTGGTGATGGTTGCATACTTTAGTAAATTTTGTAAAATCTATTGAATTATACTCTTAAAATGGTTGAATCCTATGGTAAGCAAATTATACCATGATCATTGTTTTTTTAAAATCATGGGAACTAAATTCAGTATGATTTTAATCTCTTTCCATCCTCAGAACCAAGGTAGCTGAAATCAAATTCAGACAAATCATATTTCCTCGAGGACCACCTTTAAAGCAGGCAAAATATCCAGTTATTTACCAACTTATTTAGACATAGATAAGAATAAAACTTGTTCTTCAAATTCCTACAATTAGATATTCCCATAAGACTTGTGATTCTTAAGCCGGAAACCACAGTCTTGAGTTTGGTGTTATTTCTAGATGCGAGAATTTCATAGGGCTGAATAGCTGATTGTCTTTCAAGATATTTAGGAAACACATAACTTTCTTTCCTCTCCAATAGATGGCTTTGCTAATGCGGAGTACAAAGTACAAATACTCAAGAATTCCGAGTCTGCACTGTGAATGCATGTTATTTTTCTCTGCTGTTATTCATTGTCATGACTTCTGTAAAGTGGGTGGGGAGACTAGAATCCCGAGATCATTCAGTGGCACTTTTACTCACAGAACACTTACAGGGTAAGGCTGAATGACAGTGAGGAGTATTGATTCTTTGCAGCTTCTGTAAGAGAGAGAAACAAACATATTTACAAAATGCACAGAGCCTGGACTCAAACAGTGACAGTTTTCTTTGTAAATGAAATGTGTGATGTGTTGGCCAATGTTTCTTAGGCTCTCAGGGCAGAGTAAATCAAACAGCTCAGAAGAGGGCTTTCAGACCACAGAGAAAACCAAAATCAAGTGTTTGCCGAGTGTAACAAACTGTCCAATTGAAAGCTTCCTAGGCGGATTACATTGGGCAATATTATCTGTGCTGCCGAACAGCAGGACCCTAAAATAAGACTTGGCGAGGGAAGAACGGTTTTAGAAGCATCAACTCAATCAGTCTCTACGCTTTTTGCTGCTCTCAGAATTGATTCTCCCCTTCTGATTTTCCTTTAGCCTGCTTTTCTTTGCCGCTTAAAATTTTCTGTACTTTTCTGCAAGGGGAAGGGATTTTAAAAATTCTGTCAACTTGGGGAACATAATTATCTTCTCAGGGTCAGCATTACGAAAGATAAATGTCATTGGAGGTTGCTTATGTAAAAACAGCATCCCAGCAAACATCCCTCCACACACTGTTCAGCTCTGTACGTCCAGTGCCAAGGACCCTGAGCTGATAAGTATTTCAGACAGGCACCAATTGGGAAATATTGCTCACAACAGGGAACCCTTCATAGTAAAGCAGAATAATGTCATATAATGGTTTATTTAATTTCCTCCAAGTAACCCAAACCTTCCAAATGACTCAAACCCTGGAGAAAAATCACATTATGGGTTGTAATATTTTTCTTCCTTCCTTTCTTTGTTCTTTTGTATCGTAAGTAAGAGAAAGGTCAGTTGCCATTTTGTTGAAGAGGAGCTGACTTTTTTTACTTTAGGCTGTAATTAATTACCTGCTTTTGTGATTTATTGCCTGAATGATAGAGGCAAAGGGATCTGTTGTAATTCTGTTCTTTTGAGAAAAGTCATTGCAGATCGTACCTCCCTCACTGATTTGTGGCTTCACCTACTCATCCTGGCTATTTGGACCATGAACTACTGATTTGTCAAAGGTGATGTGAATCTTGAGGTAGAGAGTGAGGTACAGGAGGAGAGGGATGAATAGGGCAGGAAAAGAACTAGAACTATAAATCCAGAAAGAACCAGGACACGTAGGCTGATAGGGATACTGCAGCAGGTAGATAGCATACTGTTGACAGTGGCCCAGCTTCTCTCACAAGTTCTTAGTTTTCAAGACTGACAGAGAGCCCAATAACTGCAGTAGACAGAGCAACAGTATAATCAAATGTAGTTTCAGTGGGTAAGATAAGGATCGTGCCCTGCTGGTGGGCACATGTGTAGACACATGGAGCAGTTTGAGGAGCAATCTGGCATCACCAGGTCAACATCACTGTCAAAACACTGTTATCCAGCCAGTCTACTCTAGCTTTACTTCACAAAGAAATTCTTCCACTATGCTTTAAGGGGATATGGATATTCCCTGCAATAGAATGTGTTGGGGTGAGGGGTTGAAGGGAAGTTGGGTGTCCATCTCTGAGACAGCAGATAGGAGACAAATATGCAGAAAGCAACATAAACAGAAGCAAAGTACTGTTCCCTAGTTTCCACTCTTCACAGGAAATAATAAACATTGAGGAAATAAGAAATGTGACACAGCCCCACAGCATAAAGAATCTGTGAGTATGGCAGCCACGTCAATGAACTTGTCTGCCCTGCCTGGCTTGTTCTGTCCAAATTTGCTCTCACAGCCCTCAGTAGCAGTCCTGGGAACTCAGCCTCTGGGACCAGCTGATGGGACTGAGTGTTGAAAATGAGCCAATCAAATTTTCTCTCTCCAGAATTACTATTAAGAGACACAGAGACTAAGAGAGTTGGGAGCCAAGACACATTTGTGGCAGAGCATCTGAGTAAAGGATGCAGATGCCAGTAGTCCTTGGAACAGTTCTAATTCCCACCATTCCTGAGGGCTGGTTGTTCACTGTTCCATTAGAAATAAAATAATTGATGTAAAATTTCTCAGTATGATATCTATCATCATTCTGGGAACAAGCTTTTACTTCTGTTTTCTCTCATCTGTAAGTACTTAATCATCACCTGCCAGACAAGAAGAATTAATTCCATAGTGCTTCAGATCCCTTAGGATTCCTAACTCAATCCTAGGAAGAAAAAAAAGATCAAAGCCATATGTGTTTATATGTTAAAGGATGCCAAAATGGATTTAGACAGATTCAGCTGAGGTCCCATGCTGATAGATGCCAATCATCTCCACATGCTAAAGAAAGGTGCTGGATGATGTTCCAAGGGGGTGTTGAAAAGGAGAATTTGTAATCCTTAACCCCTTATTCACCTTCAGTCTGATTCATGACTTAATTTAAAATTGAAAAAAGGAAACAGGGAGAAGCTGGCAGAAGTAGCATATGCCTGAAGAGTAGAGGCTACATGTGTGAAATCACTATCCTTCCACTCAGCCAGGCACAAAGTGTGATTCCTGGGGTAAGATGTGCAAGAAATGTTACCCTGGGATCATTTCGCAAAGGCCTCCTGATCAACTAAACTTCTTCCAGGGGTGAAAGGGCATTAGCCAAAAGATGGCTAAGCTGAGGAATACTGGGCATAACCAGGCCTTGGGTTCTATCTGACTTGATGGGGCTGCAATTGGAGCAACTCAGCAGAGAAATCTTCTGGAAATATACAGACGCACTTACAAGGGGAAGAATCAACCATCATTATGTTGCATGAATAGAGGAAACCAATGCTAGATTATATTGGTTTCAATAAGTGAAAACTTTATTGAGAGAAAACTCTCACCACCCTGGCCCCATTTCAATCTGAAAGAGCTAAGGCTAGAGAAGAATGTTGGAAACTAGAGAAAGCATTGACAATGCCCCTTAACCCACTGCAAACCTGAAGGAAAACCTGGGGCAAGGGACAAATTTGTGGAGTTGGAAGTTTAACTATTCCATGACAATTGAACATTTTAATTAGATTATAAATTATTGTAATCACAAGGGTACAAGTGACTGGAGAATTTTTCTGAGCATGCTGAATACATTTCTGGGATCAACCTGAGATTTTGTTAAGGGTTACAAATGACCATAGGGAGCTATTATAAATGATTAACAGGGGTAGGGGAAGTACAGTTTCCTTCTGATTGTGCCCTCTGTGGTATGCTGGCTACCTTATTCCGATCTCTCTTTACTTATATAGACTTGAATAGATCATATTCTTTGAGTTCAAATAGTCCTTGACCAAAAGTCTTTGATCCTAGGAAGAAACAATAAAAAGGTTAAACACAAGAATGATGAATAAGGCTCAGAATAAATCATGAGGTGGTGGAGTGGGCAAGAGAATGAATGGACCCATAAAACAGAGGGACAAGTGTAATTTTCTATCAAATGATGCTCAGTGGCAACATATTTATTTGTTTACTTTTGGAAAAGGAAGCTGATATTCACAGTTATAGTGCAGTAGCTGTTAGGAGCAGATGAGCCCCTGGAGAAGGACTATTGCTACTCATCATAGATGTTGGTAATCATAGATACTGTATTAGCAAATTACTATAAACTTTGTAGCTTAAAACCATACAAATTTACTACCTTTCATTTCTGGAGGTCAGAAATGTAAGATAGTAAATTGGGTTTTGCTGAGCTAAAATCAAGTTGCTAGCAGGGCTGTATTCATTCTGGAGCCCTTTTCAACTTCTAGTGATTGCCTGTGTTCCTTGGAGAATGGCCCCTCCCTAACCATCAGTACAGCATCTTCAAACCTCTCCCTGACTCTTTTTCACTGACAAAGATCCTTGTGATTAATTAGTCCTCCCTGGAATCTAAGATAACCACCCCATCATTAACTTCACTACATCTACAAAGTCAGAGACTCTAGAAATTGAGAACATCTTTGGGGGGGGGTCATTATTCTCCTGCCACAGATGTGAGCTTTATTAGTTATTGAGTGCTGCATAACAAATCATCACAAACTTAGAGGCTTAAAGCAACACCCATTTATTATCTACATTTGATGTGGGTTAGAAATATAAGCATGGCTTAGCTTAGTCACCCTTTTCAAGTTCTCTGATGAGGCTTCAAACAAAATGTTGGCCAAGGCTGGGGCCTCATTTGAGAGTTTGATTGGGAAGGATCTACTTCCAAGTTCACTTCCATAATTTCTGGTAGAATTAAATTCCTCTTTAGGCTTTTGGACTGAGGATCTCAGTTCCTTTTAGGCTTTTGGACTGAGGATCTTCAGTAGTTGGCTTAGGTCCACCCTCAGTTCCTTGCCATGTGGGTCTTTTAACACTGCCACTTAGCTTCATTAAAGCTGGCAAAAGGGAGAGTCTTCAGGCATGGTGGAAGTTAGAATCCTATGTAATATAATCAGGGAAGTGATGTGCCATCACCCATGCTATATTCTATTGATTATAAGCAAATTACAGGCCACAGCAATATTAAAAGAGATAGACCACCCCAAGCTATGAATAAAAGGTAGCAGGGATTTTGGGATCTATCTTCTATTCTGTCTGCTATACTGGTAAAGAGGGACTTGTAACCAAGTTACCTATAAGCACCTCAAAAGTAATGTCTCCCTATGACTTCATCCTACAGAGAATTTTTTCTTCTGCCAACAGTTTCAAGAAGCAGCTCAGCATACCTTGTTAGCAGGAAATGGGAAATATTTTTCAAAATATGCCTATTGTATTTAGTCTTTGTGTCTATGGTAATGGTTTGTCAATTGATTGAAACATAACAGATTGATTTCTAATTTTATGATTTAAAGATTGAAGTCATCTGAATTGAAATAAAATATTCCAAATTGATGTTTATCATTAGAACTAGAGACATGCTTTTCTGTTTTCTCTCATCTGCAGTTATTTAATTTTAACCTGCCAAACAAGAAAGTTTAATTCCATAATCTTTTGGATCTTTTAGAATTCATAACCCTAACTTCCTAGGAGGAAAAAATAGATCTAAGCCATTTTAAAATAGCTTCAACAGAAAGATTAAAATCAGGAATGAAAGATGC